AAGCAGGAGCTGAAGCTGGAGCTGGAGCTGGAGCAGGAGCTGAAGCTGAAGCAGGAGCTGAAGCTGGAGCCGGAGCAGGAGCTGAAGCTGGAGCCGGAGCTGGAGCAGGTGCTGATTGTTGTTAGCAACTCGAGCAACGGACGCTGGACCCATCTGCTTGAGATTCGGGCTTGGCCGGAAACCGGACGAGGTAAGCTGAAACATGTTAAACGCATCTCCAAACTTGTCACAGTTACTTAGGCAGATCTCGCATGCGCTGCGCCCATGATGACTGCGTCGGCCAAACATGCTGCGGCAGAGCACGACTCCCACCACAGCAGCTATTGATAGCAAACGTTTGAATGCAAATCGGGTTTAGCTGAGGGAGAAGGTACGTCTGGCCCACACACGGTGGCAAACCTGTCAAGTGGCATGATCGCAACAGCGGAAATGTCGTTTCGATTATGCTCGCGCAATATTCCACGCGCAACCGTGGAAAATTGGTGAAATGCCAGTGAATAAACATTTTTTGCTGGCACACACTTAAGAATCTTTAATCACAAGTCGTCGACTTTTGCAAAGTAATAACAGTTCAAGCTTGTTCTCAAATTTAATTTCTATATAAAATGAAAGCTGCTAAATAAGTAGCGCTATTGAAACCTCAAGAACGAGAATTGGGCGATATCCCAGAATTTTCCCAACGCTTTTTGAGGAACACAAAACTGACGTCTATCCATAGTTCCCGATACGCTCTTGCCAGCCCATAAAAATATCGACAGTAATATATGATGATAATCGCCATGATATTCATATTGCCATTCCCACCAAGATTTGCAGCTCGTGACCTCGATCCATGGCTGACCAGGCCCACACTCATCTGCCTGCGTTAATGTACAGGGTGTGCATAGCTGAAGCTCACCTACATTTGCAAGAACATGGATAGACTTGCGGATGGACGGAGGGACGGGCGGGCGGACGCATTCAACGAACAGTATCAGAAAGTGATCATAAATCTGTATAACCTGTATGTTGATTTTCACCAACTCGCTCGGCACATGCAGGTGTGCGTGTGTGTGTGTGTGTGTGTGCACTCAAAAAAAAATTGTTTTCTACATTTGAGCAAAAGAAAGAAAACTACAAAATGTGCTTGTTTTTTGTAGAAGAGATATACATACATATATGTGTAGTAGCACATTTGTTTGAGAGAAGATACTTTTCCGAACTTAAGAAAATTGTTCGAAAAGATACACAAATTCAGTTTCATGTGCGTGTGTGTGTGTGTGAGTGTATGTGTGAGTGTGTGTGTGTGTGTGTGTGTGTGTGTGAGTGTGTGTGTGTGAGTGTGTGTGTGTGTGTGTGAGTGTGTAGGCCAAGTTGTAGTCGCGTTCTGTATGCCCCCAAATATGAAAAGTGAATTTTTTGCGGCACTCGCTCCACTTCAGCCTTCGACTTGTACGCTTTTGTTTGTTGTTGTTGTTCTTGTTGTTGTTGTTGTTCTTGTTGTTGTTGTTGTTGTTGTTGTTGTTGTTGTTGTTGTTCTCTTCGCACTTTTGTCTTTGGGTCGCAGTTACTTGATTTTATTTTATTTAGTTTTGTGTGTTTTTTGCGCACTTGGCCTTAATTGCGCATGCGCGCGCACTTTCAATTCCTTTGGCTGATGACGCGGACGTTGCCACAGCTGCTGCTGGGCGGGTGGGAGGGGAGGGGGCTATGAGGCACGCAGGGCGAGGGGCGCACAAAACGTGCGGCAAATTAAAGCCGCAGCAAAAGTAGATTTGAAGCGCGACAATAATGATGCGGCACTGAAATATAATCATATTCATGCTGAGCAGGGGCTCAGGTGAGCAGCTGGGCAGGTGAGCAGCTGGGCAGGTGAGCAGCTGGGCAGGTGGGCAGGTGGGGTGTGGCCCAGGAGCAAGAAATTGAGGCGGGCGAATCCAAACGAAAATGGCACGAAACAAAAAAAAAACAAGCAGCGAACCGCTGTTTTGGCCCAGGCCCGGGCCCGGTCAAAAAGCAAGTTCATGGCAACAACAACAACAAGCGAGAAGCGAAGCTAAAAGAAGAAGCGAGCCAGAGAACACCGACAAGAGCATACCCTATTGAAACATTGTGTTAAATACATTTCATTATCGCCCATAATGATATATAGAAATCAAAATGTATATAAACTAGCAAACAGTTGTACTAAAGCGAATCAAGGGAGTACCCTTAATGTCATTAGCCCAGCTAGTCATATATATGTATGCATGTATGCATGTATGTATGCATGTATGTATGTATGGCTGACTGCGGGTTAAATCGAATTGGAATAGTTCAGCTACAGCAACTTGTCCATTCATGCGTAAACCCGCAAAGCCTGAATGAACATGTTTTGCTACCCTGATCTAATTGAAGTGTATCGAGAAAGAAAGAAAGAAAGAAAGAAAAAGAGCTTTAAGATTGTCTCTCGCATACAGATTTCTAGAGGCTGCCAGAGGCAGCGAGATGTTTTTATTATAAATTGTATATATTTGTTTTTTTTATATATATTTATTTATTTTTTGTTTTTTTGCCACTTTGGTAACAGGTTCGTCGTCGTTGTGGGGAAAAAGTCAAACGGCTCAATAATCGAAGACAGCTCCGAGTGCAAGTGCGAGTGCGACTCCAACTCCGACGACGGCTGGGCTCACTGGCAGCCGGATAAAATGAGGACAACAACAGCGACAACTTTAATGAGGTTATGTCTAGCTTGTTTGTGTCTGTGCAAATGCATGTATGTGTGTGCATCTGTGTATTTGCAACGGTGTTTGCCTATCTGTGTATATTACGGTGCCCATATCCATGTCCGTGTACACTACACACATATATACATATGCATACACGTGTATGTGTGTCAGCTGGGATAGGCCAGTTTTGGTCTTTTTGGTTTTTGGTTTTTGTTTTTCGTTTATCTTTTCGTTTTGTGGTTTTTGCTCAAATGCAGCCCCGAAACAAACATAAACAAAGCAAAAACAAAAAAAAACACAAATGCATTGCATATTTGCTTACCTCTTCCTTTGGTCGTAATGCCTGGTACGAGCACTCGTAATTGCTGTTGACTTTTGTTGCCTTGGCTGTTGTTATTAATGTTGCTGCATATTTTTGTTAGCTTACAGCAAAATTGCACAAATCATAAGATTACAAAAAAAAAAAAGCCAAAAAAAAATAATAATAAACAATCAAAACACCCAACAACTATAAAATATGCACAAAATTCAAATGCTTTTCACTTCACACTACAACGAAACCGAAAGAAAAAAAATAAACAAAAAAAAACCATCGATAACAAAAACAAATCGTGGCTTGAAAGCAGAAAAAACCGTTGCACGCCTGCGCTTTCAAAATTGTTTTGGCTAAGCTTTTTGTGCGACGCAGACGCAGCGCCAACTTTCATGTACGAGTGTTCAAAGCAAACTGACAACGGCGACGGCGACGACGATGGCGATGGCGATGGCGACGGCGACGACGACGGCTCCTCCAATTCGATTGCGACTGCGCCAATCACCGCTGCCGACGAGCAGCTCTGACTGTTTAGCCGTATTCCAGCTAGAAACGAACAAAGCGCGCAGTCGCCATAGATTGCATCTAGTCACAGTTGGGAAATTAAAGCTAAAAGCAAATATATTGCTCTTATTACATAATTGTTATAATGGCTGTAGGGCAATTTTTAATTTTGCAATTAGCGACACACAAACGTTTTCAGTTTTAAGAACTATGGCAACTCAATATAATTTTCCATATTTCAACTACGTACTGAATTGTTAAGGAATTTTTTGCTAAGCTGTAAAAACTTTTCATTTTACGGCTATCAAAGTTGACAGCACTGTTGCGCCTGCTCAATTCGCTTAGTCGGCGGCGTTGCCACTGCGCTGCAATTACACCGACCTATTCGCCGCGACCGCAGTCGTCGTTGCTCGCGGGCAGCGCGACGACGTCGCCGCCGCACTTTGCCGACTGATTAGCTGCCGATGCTGCCACAGTGGTCGCTGCCTTGCCTCAGTTAATTTCCTTCAATCTTTGCGGCTTTTTCGCATATGGGTTAGTGCTCAAACATGCATTACGTGTATACATAAGAATGCTTGTACGAATATTTACCTGTACAACTGTACATTCGTAATGGCCGTCCGCAAATTGACCCATAAAATTATAACGTGGATTTTGTTGTTTGAACATCGCTTTGCCTACGATAGATTGTCATAGTCCATATTCAGATTTTCAACAAAGACTTATTTATGTATGTATGTATGTATGTACATGTATACATATCAACACCCACACACAGCTCAACAGCAGTGAGCAGACTTTTTCGAAAGACTGTTGCGGCAGATTCACAGTACTTGCTTTCAGGAGAGATATGTATGGATACATGTATGCATGGATCGAAACGCTTCAATATCATTCGAAATATAATCACGATCTGGTCGTCGACGCCGAGTTCTTCGATTAGCATGCAAAAAGGTGGCCCCAGCGAGAATTGGCCAATAGAATTAAGGCTCGAATGGAAGATACTCGCATCACTGAGCTCTTAACTGATTTGATTTCTGCATTAAATATGTAAATGAAGTGTAATTTTATAAGAATTTGATGTGACCAGACCCCAACACAAAAGGCTGCAAATCGGTTCAAGCTGAACCGGTTCGAACCCGTTCACTAAACATTTGTCTAGACATATTTGGTAGATGTCAAGAGATAATAACTACAGTGTGTATGTATTATATATATATAATAATATTATTATTTAAAGCTTTCAGTAATAAAAACCAAGCTTTGAACATAAAAACTGGTTCATAAATGTGCAAAACCAGGTTCACGAACCGAGCGACTCGGTTCGAAAAGTGAACCGAATTGAAGTATTTGCAGCCCAGCAAGCAATATATTCTTTAAGATCTTACCTCACCTAACCTATTCAATGGAAAACTTACCGAATCCATAGATTGTTGATAATACAACAAGTGTCACAGAAGATAGAGTAAAAAAGTTTTGTTTTTGCGTTCGATTTTAATAACAGCACATTACAGAAGTCTGATCCTGTGAGCATCCTTTTACGCCCTAACCTCAAAAGCCTTATAGGTATACTCCTCGATGACTTTCATATTCTTAATGATGAACTCCTTAACGGCAGCCACGTATTCGGCTGCCGAGGCGATAACCTTTTTGAAGGCCTCTATCACCTTGCCCTCGCCCTGCAGCTGGCCCTTGTAGAGATCTTCGGAGACCCGGGTTATGTAGCCGCGTATTCCCAAGACTTTTGCCTGGGCGACGGCAAACAGTTCGAACGCCTCCTTTGGCACCTTGCCACGGACCTCAAAATCGCAGGCCATGATCTTTGGCTTGGCTTCGTGAGTTGCCATTTTGCCTGGCTCGAATCAATATTATAGTAGATGCTGTGAAACAATTTCGAAAGCCTGCTCCGAACTGAGCTAGGCTCCTAAGATTTCCCCTAAGTTTTAGCTAAAGCATGCCCGGACCTTGCTAAGCGGATAGGATCGGATCGAGGAATAAAAATGAAAACGACAAAAAATTCAAATTAAAATTTAAAAAAATAATCACTCGCACTTGCTGCTTAGTGTAAATTGGCACATAATATAATTATAACAAAAACAAAACGAAAATGAATTAAATTTAAATCACAACTCGGTTTCAAGTCTTTTTCGACATCAAGTCTCCGTCGAATGTAAGTCGTAGCTCAGTCTAAAAGCGATTTATCTCGACTTTGTTGTGCGTCGACTCCTCCCTTAGGACGGGTACCACGGTGCGGCTGGAGGGGTCACATGAGCAGGGGAGGGGGTTGGGCATAAAATGATTATAAATTAAATAAATTGCTTTATTAAATAGCAAAGACGGCGACGACAACAACAACAGATGACACGCACAGAAGACAATGCAACAAATAAGGTATTTAACATAAAAGAAAACACGTAGAACGCACCGACGCTAAAATACCCTTCACATCGACTTGATGTAAAACCCATATTATATTTAACACCCGAAAGATTCCACTTTCATTTCTTGGCTCAAGGAATCTTCCCCATATATTACAAGATTTGAGCATTATAATAAGACTTGGCAAGAATAATCCATATATATACATATATAGAGTGTGAATTTTTAATATAGCAAATATCCATTTATCCATTTTGAATACATTTATTGATTTAATTAAATGCTGTTAAAAAATTGTAAATTAAGAAAAGAAAAAACGAATCTTTGTTGCACAATTTGTTGTCAAACTACTTGAAAAACGTGTGAGGCTTGATTTTTGAAGTGGAATGGAAGGCAAATGTGAGTTGTTCTCAAGGGCAGGTGAGGCTAACGGCGGCTTGGCACGTGACGTCACGCGGCGTGTTTTGAAGCACTTTTCCCAGAAAGCTTTGAAAATTCGCTGCACGCAATTATGCGCAATTTCCATGCCACAAAATAGCGCGGAAAATTATTACATAAGACATGACCAGCTCCAGATTCAACAGATAGCAAGTGGCACATAAGCATAAACATGGACAAGTCTATATATATGTATATATAGCTATATATTTAATGGATTCCTGTTAACAGTTTTAAGATTCGTTTAAGCAAACACTTGTTCGTGCACAGCTGACTTTAACTTAGGTGCCATACGGATATACAATATATATAGATATATTTGACAGGTATACAAAAAAAAGTTGCGTATTAGCATTATATGTATATAGATGGGTGTACATGATATTCATATAGTTTACAGAAGATTCATTGTTCGCTTTATGACCCACACAGAAGCCATGAGAATTTCGGTTTCACAATAAAAAGACAAAAGAAAAAAAACAAAAAAGAACCCCTTGGTTTTGTAGGGGCTTACGTTCTGCAGATGGATAGCGTGTCCAGTAGAAAGACGGCGCCATTGATGATCATCAGGGAGCCGGCGGCGATGGCGTTGCGCTTGCGCTCCTTCAGGAAATCGTATTTATCATGCCACTCATCAATGACCAGGGCACCGGAGGCCACGAACAGAATGCAGCCCAGCAGCGAGATTAGGGCATTCAGCCGTTTCTCCACAACCGAATTGATCACGTGTCCTATGCGAAGAGAATTTGAGAGATTAGGGATTAGGGATTAGGAATGCATCATCTCGTATACTCACCGATCAGCAGCACGGCGCAGATGATTGTGTAGCCGCCAATGGTGCCGCAGACAATCAATGGACGCTTGCTCAGATCCTCGACAACCTCGTAGAGCACAACGCAGGCAATGGCAATGCCCTGGGATTATAAGAAAATATGTACAACAACAATTACTCAACTGTTTTGGGTTAATAAATGAAGCCTGCCTGCAGAACAGTTCAAATAAGCTTTTTATACCCTGAACCATGCTCGAGTTTGTTTCCGATAATCGATAACTTACTCCGTTTCCAAGCAATCGATAAAAATCGATATCGATATCAGGTTTTTTGGGCATTTTTGGTAAATAATATAGCTTCTTAAATAGAATATATATGCATTTGATGTTGGAAGAACAGGGTTCAGGGTATCCCCTAGTCGGGAGCTCCCAACTAGAGCCTCTTACTTGTTTATCTTGCAGCACTCTTGCACAAGATATTAAGATTAGATGAGACGTCTCCCTCTAAGTGAAGTCTATATCATATTGATCTTTAATAATAGCCGATCCGATATAGACAATCAAAGGCCCAATCAAATTGATTAGCATTACAGTTCGCAGTTGAATTCAGTTTTGGATCCGAACCGGAGCTCGTCTTGTAACGCATGGAACTAGACATCTCCGAGCCCATAAAGTATATATATTCCAGATCAGCCTAGATCAGCCTCCGTCCGTTCGTCCACCTGTCCGTCTATCTGTTTGCGGTATCGATTTTGATCGATTGCTTGGAAACGGGGCAAGTTATCGATTATCGAAAATAAATTCTTACTGCGCGGAGTCTAGGAGATCTCCCATACTCTCTCATACATACGGACGGATGGACGGACGGAGATACGGACATGGCTAGATCGATATATATTTATATTCTTTATGAGATCGGAGATGCTTTCTGCTGCCTGTTACTTGTATTTGCACAAAAGCAATGTACCCTTTTACCCATTTTCAATGTTTATAGGGTTCAAAACGATTCGGTTTAAAAAGCGGTTATCAGCAAAAATATAGACATATATATATTTTGAAATATCAACTTGAAAGATGTTAGCTTATATAGTTTAGCAAAATATGCAGCTGGCTTTCATGACTAATACTGGCCTCTATTATTTCTTATAAATGTGACCTATGTGATTCATCCCAAAGTGCGCTAGAAAAGTACATAAGCACGTTGAAATTGGTTTGGCTTCTGCAAGTTTTATTGGGCATGAAATATGACAAATGTGTCAGCGATAAAAATGGCGGCTGTGGCAAAGGCCAATACGCCCGAGGCCAAGATGGTGTTCTTTTCGCTGGCAATCTCGTAGCAGTTCATCCAGCGATCGAGTATGATGGCGCCGGTCGAGACGAAGAGCACACAGCCGGCGACCGTGAAGAGTATATCGATGCGCTTGTCCAGTTTGGCGCCCACCAGATGCCCTGCAATTGAAGCGGCAATTCAGGCTAACGGCCGCGGCACCACAATCAATCACATCATATTACCTATGATCAGGACACTGCAGATGATCAGATAGCCGGTCAGCGTTCCACAGACCAGCATCGCCTGGCTGCTGTAGCTGTGATCCGCCACGCCCTCAATCAAGATTATGATGCTGGCGGTGAAGATCTGCGACGAGGGCTCGAAACATGCATGAGATGCTTGTCGACGGACAATTGTGGAACAGAAGGCACATGGAAACGGACAGACACACGAGTTGGTACAGTAAACTCTAGGTGCAGGTGCATTCACAAACATTTTGATTTCTTGACACAAACTTGGAGCGGAAATATGGCATATAAATGGAAATTAGAAGACTATATAGAACTTTTCAATTGAACTTCTAGTTGAAGTAAGAGAACATAACATGGAAACCAGATTTAACATTGACTATACAAACACTTTGAGAAACCTATATTAGATAAGTTAAGTTCAAGGAGCAGCTTGCCTAAGAAATATAATATATAAATATATGGAAATTAGAAGACTATATAGAACTTTTCAATTGCACATCTGCTTGAAGTAAGAGAACATAACATTTAAACCAGATTTAGCATTGACTATACAAACACTTTAAGAAACCCATATTAGATAAGTTAAGTTCAAGGAGCAGCTTGGCTAAGTAAATAGGTAAGACTTAAGGACTTGAAGTTTTGTTAAATTGAAATGAAATTTTTGTACGGAAGCAGAATTAACAAGCGCATTTCCAACTTAAGCACTTAAAGTTGAGTGGCATTCAAATGTTATCAGAAGTCGTATTGCCTGTTGTCATTTAATATGGCAAAAGTCGACGGACTTAACGCTATACGGAATTGCCAACAGCGAGTGCTCGGAGTGCCTGGGTGAAGCCAATTTGCTTATCAAATATGGAAATAATTTAGATATCGATATGGCAAATGGGCGTAATATTAATGGGCAGCAGTGTCAACAAATGGAGCTAACTAGCTCTCTCTCTATATATATATATATATATATATATATGTGTGTGTGTAGGGAAGGGCTCTGGGGCAATCAATCAATTAGGAACGCCGTTAGACGCCGCTAATTGCCAGCTAAAAGGATGTGACACAGCAACATATCCTGTCGCGGCGCCCACACTCCGAACCGCCAATTGTTTGATTTGTAATGCGAGCTGCCAATAACAACAACAAAATATCATTAAGGTAGCATGTTTAGGGGCTTTGAGATAAAAAAAAAACAGAAAAAAAGCACAGGCTCATGGTCATATCGGACCAGATATATGTGTGTATCTATATTAGCGGCTTATTGTTTATGTCACGCCCATTAGCAGCAAATAAAATTGGCCAAAATGATGTCAATAATTACCAAATGTTGCGCACATTTGTTTGCATATGCCAGTCACATTCTACTTTATTTATTGCCCAATTGGCAAGAGACAAACAAAAGGTCGTCGCAAATGTTTCAATATGAAAACCGAAAATCCGGTCTCGAATTTCAGGCTTTGTTTTTTTTTTTATGAATTTCATGAATTTGTCTGCCAAATCGAATAGAAAGTTTCCTTCTAACAATTCTTACGTTTTTATAGTAATATAAGCAATTTTTTTTATGTTTTAGAAACTATTTTTTGGATATTTGGAAACATTTCTGTTATGCTTGACTTGTTTTAGAGTCTTTCTCTAATTTTTCTGATTTTAAATTAAAATTTTAAAATTTAATTATATTAATGAAACAATTATAATAATACTAATAATGACTAATTTAATGCAATAATAATAAAAAAAAAATAATAATAAATTAATAATAAATGTAATATTAATAATGATAGAAATGATAGTCATACAAAATATAATAAAATAATAATATAAATAATAACAAAATACGAAATTCGAATAATGACAATAAGAAAATTAAAATAATGTTAATAAAAATTATACTAATAAAACGAATACTAACAAATAAATAATAAGAAGAAGAAGAAGGCAAAGAAAATTATAATAATAATAACAATTGAAATAACAATAACAGTTAGTATTATTATTACTATGATCATAATGAATAATAACAATTGAAATAGCAATAACAATTATTACTATTGCAAGTATTATAATGTTCCTTACTTATTTATAAGCCTAACAAATTTTGGCAATTACCTAAATTAAAATGCCTCTAACGTATTTTGGCTTGGCCATCTGAGTTTATGGGCTCCTAAATATTTGATTACCAATTCATGAGACAAATTGCGTAAAAATATGAACTTGGGCCTTGCGACGGCCCATTTGATTACAATAAAAATAATGATTCATTTTGACATTGACTGAAAACGCGTTTCGAAACTTTCAAAAAAAACCCTAGCTTATTTATTTTTTTGTAATTAATTCAAGCAAATGCCAATAGTTAATTGTCCCACAAAATGTTCTTTAGCCCTGATTGTATATATCTTATATATATCTATCTATATAGATTTTTGGTCCAAACATAATTATTATCATGCGACCTAATAATGTTACAATTTGTTTATAATCAAATAATATTACAAATTTCAAGGCTGTGAAATAAATTAAAATACAATTTGTACATAAAGAATAACTTTATTTACAAATGTTTTACGAGGCACACCCAAAATATATTTTATGGGCCCGACAAAACTCGACCAGGCACATTTTCGGCTACTAACAAAAAACTAGAAAAAAAAGCTAGATGAATAAGAAAAAAACTGTTTTTAAATTAGAATAATTGTCTATTTAAGCCAATGATCCTTGAGGATCGGAAACTACGCAGAACTCTTTGGGTTCCATCTCCGAGCACATCTCGAATTATGCTTTTGAGTTTAGTTCAGACCAAGTTCGATTGAACGGGTCATTAAAATTAACTACTGAACTTATTCAATGATTCGTGAACTAAATCGGTCATTTACACGACGAACGATACATTCATGATACTCGTTCAGTCGTTCATGAACTCATATCAGCTCAGCCGTTCCTGAACGATACATTCTTTTGGGATGTTCAGTTCTTAATAAACATAAAAGATCACTTTTGATTTGACTGCATAACTAGGCGAATAGTACATGACCGACTGAATAGCTGAACGAGTGAACTAAATGACCGATTTAGTTCACGGCCAGAAAATGAACGAGTGAACTTATTCAGCAAATTGAACTAGAAAACCGCACTTTACTTTTGAGAGCATTCTATACAAATTATACTTTCGACAGCTTCCAAGTTATAGATAATCAGATTAACGAAAATTCAATGGCAAATGGAATTTATACAATTTGCATGTGTTTAAGATTTTTACTTGATTCGTTAACAATTGCCAGGCTGATGCATGCGAAGCCACAGACATTGGAAATTCCAGGTAATTACGCCTATTTGGCTGGCCAGGGTGAGGTCTGTTTATGGCCTAAATATAGCCGAGCAACTTGTACAAATGAAGCGCCGCCGTTTCGCACCATGCCCATACATCAATTTAATACAGAAATCAGGTGCGCTTTGTACATAGTTAAAGGCATTTAGCAATTAATTATACGACGCTGACACGCCACACTGACATTGGCCGAACGAGCTGAACGAGCTGAGCGACCCGGCGCGGCCATTTGTTAGGGCAAAAAACAACAAGTAAGAGGTTCTAGTCGGGAGCTCCCGACTAGGGGATACCCTGAACCCTGTTCTTCCAACTACAAACGCAAATATATATACTATTCTAGAAGCTACATGTCAAAAGAACAGAATTTCGATATCGATTTTTATCGATTACTTGGAAACGGGGCAAGTTATCACTTATCGGAAACAAACTCGATCTGCGCAGGCACTTGGAGCACCTACATCCAATTTCAAGTCTCCAGCTCTTATAGGTTCTGAGATCCTTGCATACGGACTGACGGACGGACGGACGGACAGACAGACAGACAGGCATGGCTAGATCGACTCGACAGTTGATGCTGATCAAGACTATATACTTTATGGGGCCGGAGATGCTTCCTTCTGCCAGTTACATACATTTGCACAAATACAATATACCCTTTTCAGCGTATAAAAAGAATGTATTGCCAATTGTGAAAGTAACAAATGCGCCAGTTAACACATTTATTAGCTCGTAAATAAATTGCTGAGTGTATTCAAAGATTTGTGTTTGTTTTTGTGTTTGTTTTTCGCCAAAAAGGAATGAACCTGAAGGCGGGGTCACACACTATACACGCCTCATATGTATGTATGTACATAATATCTAAGGCAAACAATCATTGCCGGCGCCTTATCTGCAACGCTTTGAGCTCTTACCCATGACCAGCGATCCATAAGCCAATAACAAACATTTGGCCCGAACGGCTCGGATGCGTCAGCACTGGCTGCTGCTGGTCAGCTCATTAAGCCAAATATACATATATATATATATATATATATATATATATATATATATGTGTGTGTGTACATATATAAATGAAAATTAACTATGCCACGCACACAGTTTTTTTTATTTTGTTTTAGTTTATTCAATGCAGCGCCCGCAGCTACAACCTTTGGCGCACATGGCGTATGCGTAATGTAAATCTTTTTGCGCTCGCACTTGCCATTATGACATCATCATCAACATCAACATCATCATCATCATCAACGGCAGCAGCAGCAGTTCGTGCGATTTGAGGCGCGTCTCGGTTTGATTTTAATTCATTTAATTAGTCAGCCAAAGCCTGTACACCTTTAAGGTGTGGTCATGGGCCGCAACACATGCAACACAATCACGTCCCAGCAGTACACACACACACACACACACACACATTGATCTAGCCATATGGCCATAAAGTTAGCTTGGATTAATATACAAGCACAATTAACCTTAAAAAAAAAAAGTATTGATCACATTATGATTCATTTCATGTCAACTTTTGTTTACGTACAGCATGAACAAGGAGAGCAGCAAGAACTATTCATTGCTGTAGACCGAATTCTGAATACACTCTTGACTCTTGAATTAAAAAACAACAAAGCATATAGATTAAGTTGCCATTCGATCTAAGCACATATCTCATGCCATTATTTACTCGCATAATGCCAGCTTTATAGTATATTTAGCTATATATTACCGTTATTTCGTGACAATAAACGTCTCAATTGCAAGTCAAGATTAAAATAGTTGGCAAATTATGTGTCAATGTCAATGCTCCATATTTAACTGTGATCCACTGACCCAGCTGATAAAATGGGAAGAGCAATCATGAAGTCATTCACGGATTTGTGCACAAAGGGGCATGCGTCATGTTGCAGTGTTGTGGAACGGCGTTATCAGAATGACTCGCGATCGAGTATAACGGGAATGCCAATAATGCACATGAATAATAAACAAAAAAACAACAGCTGATAAACTCCAGTGAAAACAAAAATGCAATGAGCATTTAAATATACATATGTATTTGTATGTATTCGAAATACAATTTGCCTATTATTATTAACAAATTGCACAAAAGGCAATCAACTAAATTTAAGCGCAATTGAAGCGCAAGTAACAACTAAATATGTACGTATGTGAATAAATCGTCAAAAATAAAGCAGTCTGCGTAACGGTGACATCATGGAGAGCATCATCTCGGCATTATTCGCCGGAAGTCATATCCATGAGAAACAAGCGACCAATTGTTTTGTTTGGGGGTTGATCTCAAGATCTGACTGAATATTAATGACATCATGCCCGGCTTCGGATAACAAAAGACAAATACGCAACAGCACGCATTAAAGAACTACGCAGTTAGTTGCCAGTGCTAATGCCATGAAAAAGGAAGCACACAACCAAAAGCAAAACAAAAAATACCAAAAACAGAACCTCAAATGAAGTCATGACCAACAATGAAAACGAGTCTGGCCAATGGGAACCGGTTTCTTGCTTCAAGGCAACTGGCGCAAGGGTAGAAATAAGAAGACAAAAAGTAAAGAAAAAGTAAATCAAAACAACGGCAACAAGCGGACTCGCTCAAAGTAAGTTGAAAGTGAGAATGGGGAAGGGGTGAAGAGTAAGACATAACGGGAGCAAAAGGGAGCAGCAGCCAATACAAGCACAAACGAGCGCAGATTTGTCTGCTACGAAGCGATAGATAGTCAAGACAACAACTGATGAGAAGGACTCAAAGCGTAGAGGCAGAGAGTCGCATAGATATAGATAGTCACACACAGAATACATGCATACGTATATGTATGTATGTATGCATGTATGCATGTACATATAGAATTGACACTGATCAGTATTGCACTTACCAGCTCGATGATCTTCAATAGCAAACGGTTGTTGAACTCCATGGTGTTTCCTTTATGACGTATTTACTTCGCTTTTGAAATGCTTTAGCTTTCGGTTAATTCCCACTCACGCTCGAACTGTGTGCACGTCTTGCCCAAACGCTGTGCGAAAACTGACTAAATCAAAGCAGCGCCAGCGCGCGCATCCAAAGCTCAGGCAACTTGGGCAGCGTCAATCGGTGACGGCGACGTTGACGGCAACGGCGGCAGCGACTGCGACTGCGGACAGCGACAATGCTATCGACGTTAACGACAGCAACTGGTGTATGCGTATTTATGGTTTGTGTGTACGCACACACACAAATACTCACACACAAATACTATTATTCTCATCAACATCAATAGCCAAATAATAACTCCTTACACATGTATGTATGTATGTAAGTAAGTAAATAAATTATGAATATGTGCGCAGATTATCAGGACTCTTTCCCAAAACTGATTAATAAACGTTAAAAATCCAAATTAAGGATTTTATTAAGGCTTGAAATGAAATAACTTAAATTTTTGGACACTTTTCAGATGTTTTCCTGTATGATTTGTGCTATTTATGCTATTATTTTGACTTTTTAAATATAGGAAAACTTTTTTGTTTTTTTTTCGATCTACTTCCTTCTCATTTTCAAATATCTGCGTAACATATCATAGAAGACGGACTCCACCATGTTCCCGCTATTGTATGCATGTATGTATGTATGCATGTATGCATGTATGTATGTATGCATGTATGCATGCATGTATGTATGCATATATGTATGCATTTATGTATGCATGGATGTATGCATGGATGTATGCATGGATGTATGCATGGATGTATGCATGGATGTATGCATGAATGTATGTATGCATGTATGTGTGCATGCATGTATGCATGTATGTATGTATGTATGCATGTATGTATACACGTATGTATGCATGTATGTATGTCTCTATATATAATACCGTTTGTCCTGACTGAGAGGGTGGAGATAAATTTTAGCCCGCAAATTATATATGAAAATATGTACCGCAATTTCATTGCTTCAATTAAACGTGAAATTAATTCAAATTAAAATTTTTACATTAAAGCTTAGAAAATATATTTTAATGTTTGTAATCAAAAACTAGGCTTATGGATGTGCAAACTAGCTTTACGAACCGAGTCGGAGCTGTAAACCGAAGCAACAAACATATTTTTCGGGCTTGCAGCTCCGAAAATAAACATAATTTTAAGAATTTGTGTTACTAACTAGTTTTTTTTGTCATTCTAATAAAAGTGTATCTTTGCTCTAACTTACTCACTTGCACTATCTCTCTCTCTCTCTCTCGTTCGCTCTCTACACACTTGTTCATTTGGCGATGCGAATGAATAAAAGCATATCACGCTCTCTCTCTCGCTCTTACACTCTTATTTATACATATCCTCAGGTTGTAGAATATTATTTTATTTACTATCGTACATTCCTTGTGAGGATGCTTCCAAATAGAACTTCTCGATGGAATTAGTTGATAAAAAAAAAATAAACATAAACATGACTTAAACAAAATGCAATAACTAATTACTAGCTAGCTTAATTATTTAGTTACGGCCATGCCAACATGCGCCATTGCGCGCTCGGCTTCAAATATGGACACAAACTGCGGCTCCAATGTGGAGAGAGCACGCCGGCTAAGCAGGGAAATGCTCTTGACCTCTCCATGATCCCGCTCGAAGGCAATGTATTCGAGCCAAACGCTCGGCTCTCGCTTGCCAAAATATGTGGTCATGAATTCGTAGCACATGCGCCAGGCTTTAATTGTGGATAAATCCTAAAACAAACGATATATAATGAATACGAAATGGATAAAGCAATAATAACCGACTTACCTTCAGTTTGGAGCTCTGTATGAGGTTGACCATCTCGCGATGCAACTGCAGCGACATGGGCGGCTGTTGCGCCAATTTGGCATATTCATCACGCGCTTTGGTCGGCGAATGCTCGTGCCACAGATAGCGCAAATAGCTGCAGCGCAGATCGGCAAATTCGGGCGAGGTCTCCTTGCAGGCCTGTGTATAAATGTCATTCAGTTGCCGCTTGGCCTGATTATCATTGCGCGCCCTATAATAGGCGATGACCATGTGCCAGAGGGAAAGGCCGGCGGCGCCCATCGTGCGGCGCACCTGGCTGAACAGCTTGTGAACGCTAGGCTCATCATCATTGCGGATATGGGCGGCTAGCAGGAGCTCATGCATGCGCAGCGATGCATCGTGCTGCAGTGCCTCGGTCAAAATGCGCACACAGGCCTCTCCGCCGTTATCGGTGCTACCCAGTATCATGCTTAACGTGGCATAATGCCTGGCATGCATCAGCTGAGAGCGATGGCCATCTTGCAGCGCACTCGCCAGGCACTGTTGGATAAAGGCGCGCTCCGATTTGTGATTTCTACTTAACGCCAGCATGGCGTCCAGATATAGGTTCCACATTTCCTGCGTCTGCAACTGCTGAACGGCCGCCTTGTAGACCGTCACGCAGAGTTCAATGCAACGCTTTTTCGATCGTGACTGAAACACTTGGACCGTGTCTGGACGCGTCTTTTTCTCACTCGGCTCAGCGTCGTCTTCGTTCTCCGCCATATTCATAAGATCACCCAAATGGAAGCCACGCAGCTCACGCTTTGCGAGCGCATCCCACAGCGCTGGCTCGCGTGAGAACTTTGTCTGTATATCATCGATAATGCGATGCTGTAGCCTGGCAGTGAGCTCTGCGTGATCCTCACAGCACTCGAGCAATTTGAGAAAGTAATCCAAATTTGTTATATTTGACAGGCTGTTGCGATAGACGGCCGCGACGCGCTCCATTTGTATGTCCTGCTCCGAGACCGTGTTGTCGCCCAAATCACGTTTGTTGTCCGCCACGGCTGCCTCCTTCAGCTGTATATTGAAGAAGCAACTGTTGAGCGCTTCGGAGGCGGGATGTCGCTGTAGACCACGCAACAGTATGTCCTGTACGCGCGCAATATTGGCACGATTGTATTCGTAGAGCCACAATGCGGCATTGATCCAAATCTGTGGATCACCGCCATGGTACTGCGGGGAGAACAATTCATTTTAACCGTTTCAGTTCTGACTCTTTCAGACTCGTTTGTCTGTTGACGAAAACTTACCGACAGCATCTTCTCGTATATGCCAGCCACCTCTTGTGGCGCAGATTTCTTGCTGAACTTGATGCAGTTATCCCATAGAGGCTGCTCGTGGGCAAACTTGTTGAGCATCTCCCTGTACATGCGCATTATCCGAGTGCAAATGGATGCTTTTAGGCCGTTTAGCTTGAGGCCGGTCAGTTTCTCCTTTTCGGTGAGTGCTTTGTGCATTGTTTTCTCGTACGCAATGAATTCCAAATAGTCGGACATGGCTATATGGCTTTTGGTTATATTTAAGAATAGGCGTTCGCGCTTGCGTACACATTCTCTGCAAATTAAACATTTGCACATAAAGTATTAGAATGCATATTTTAATTCGTGTTATTGCTTACCTGATTTGTTCCGGGGTAAATACTTGATAGTGCTTCATTTGCTCATATTCCGGCAGCAGCCGCTCCTGCATCTCTGCAATAAACTCGCCCATGTTGAATTACTATATTTTCTGCACAGGCAGTCTATTAAATTAATATTTAAAGTTTTTTCTTTTTATTTTATTTTTTTGCCGTCGCGCACGTTGTTCACATGCCGTTTCCAATCAGCTGTAGCACGTTTTGTCATCGATAGTTGTATGCAGCCCTGTTTCAATTTCGATATGCCAATGCGATATGTGATTTTTGGTTAATTTTTGCAGTTTGGTCACCCAAAATACCAAACTACTTAGCAACTGGTCACTTTTTTCAAACACAAAACTTTTAATTTACAGTAAATAAATAAAGTTTCCAAAAAACACAAACGCAAATTGCAATGGCCGAATTCTCAGTCGAGCGCGTAGAGGACAAACGCACAGTTAATGGTCGCACAGAATATTATTTAAAGTGGAAGGGGTATCCACGCAGTGAAAACACTTGGGAGCCGGTTGAAAATCTCGATTGTCCAGATTTAATAGCAACGTTTGAAGAATCATTAAAGAATAATAAAAAAGAGACTAAAAAACGCCTTTCCACATCGTCAACACCAGATTCGATACGAAGTAAGCGAAAATCATTCATGGAGGAAGATACCGACGAACAAAAGAAGTTGATTGGCTTTGATCGCGGCTTGGAGCCGTCAAAGATTCTTGGTGCGACCGACTCATCCGGATACCTTATGTTTCTGATGAAGTGGAAGGGTAGCGATCACGCCGATCTGGTGCCCGCCAAGCTGGCGAACGTCAAATGTCCACAAGTCGTTATACAATTTTACGAGGAACGTCTAACCTGGCACACTGGCAATGGCAATGGTAACGGCTCCGGTAGCGGATGTGGCAGTGCGCACGCCGCTGGAAGCGTTAGTACACCTGGCAGCACCGCTGACGCTAGTCCGAGCGGCAGCATCAACGATGAAAATATAAAACCCGACGCTGGCGCCGAATTAGGGAACGGAGACGCTGTCTAGCTTATTTCACAGAACTCGTTAAGCCAGCAAAAACAATGCCATGCAAAACTGCATGGATACACACAGATACAGACACACACACACACACACACAGGCACATGCTCGCTCCTACATTTTTACATACAAATAACATAGACATAATCATACATACATACATACATAGATATACATACAGGCATGTTCTTTATTGCGCCAACACAAACAAAACATAAGAAAAAAATTGAGCGTATTTCTAAAATAAAATAAGCATACATTTTAATATGTATAACTATAATAATAACAATGTTTCTTTATCTTAAGCCTAGTTTGTGTTTGTGTAGATTTACTAAATCCTTTTTGCGAACATAAACATTAAATACGATCTGGCAACGCCAATCGTCAATCGTGGGGGCAATCGATGTATTCGATAAGTTGCGCTGCCAAGCCGGCAAACTAGAAATAAAGCTGCTATAAATGCAAATGTTGTGCGTTTCAAATAAAATTCAATAAATAATGGCACAATCAAGCTCCATGAAGCTGCTTGGCGCACGCAACATGAGTTGCATTGTGGAGCGCATGGAGTGGAACAACAAAATGGATCTCATTGCATATGGCACCGAGAAAGGTAGGCAGCATCCAGCTGATGCGACGTCTTAGTTTTCTTACTTCCATAATTGATCTTAACATGCGCATGGATTTGTTTGCTGTAGGTGAGGTAATCATACAGCGGCTGAACTGGCAGAAAATCGTCACCTTTCCGACGCCCGGCGAGGATGTGCGAGTGCGTTCACTTAGCTGGCAAATGGATGAGACACTGTTGGCGGTCGGTTATAGCAATGGAAAGGTGGCGCTGCTGGATGCCGAAAGCGAAACCATAATATCGGGCCTAATCTACGATGATGACATCAAGAAGGTATACTTCAGCAAGGCGATCAACTGCAAGGAGAGCCTCGACAGCTACACATGCAATGCAAAGGACAAGCACAGACGGTATTTACCGAAACTGCCTCCGCTAACCAATATCGATCCGTGCCTGAAGACGCTCGATCAGAAGTCATTTCCCAAGGGCTCGCCCTGTTTTCTGGTGGTTATTATGCGCAGCGGTAAAGTGCATTTACTGCTCCTTGGCGCCCTGCAGGCGGGCAGCATTGATCTCACACAGCATGTACTAAATCCGGATCAATTCGATGTGTACGATGTGCGTCTCAATGGCGACTTTAATGCCATCTATGCACTACTTCGTGATGGCCAACAGCTGAAGCTGTTGCATTTTCATAATCAGGTTCTGCAGGATTCCATATCACCCATGCTGGAGCTGGCTTCCCACTGTGCCCACATACTAGAGACCAAAAAGTGAGTTCTTCTCGGCAGCGGCTATTATCACAACTAACTGCTCCAACCATTCATATATAGTTACATCAATGACACACAACAGTGCCTGACGGAAGCATGGGAGACGGTCCAACTGGAAATGGACAACAAGCTGACCAAGTATGCCAATTCGCAGGCATATGGCATGATATCGGCACACTTTCTGGAGCTGCTCGTATTCGGTTACGCCACCCTGGAGGTCGAGGAGTTTCTGTTCGAGTGAGTTAAGTCCCTACACTCAGTATACAGTGCTCATGGGCCCCGCCGCTTTGCTCTTCTCTTTTCACAATGCCACAGAACGTTGACGGAGAAGGGCTTCAAGAAGATAGCCAACTCAGTCGATCTGAGCCTCAACAATTTGCAGGGCCTGGTCTTCAAGCAGCTAAACGGAGCCGCCATTAACATGTTTTACTTTCTCAATACAATTGCGGGCTTTGGACGCATGACGCATTTCTTTGAGGTTTGTCTTGTTTGAAACGACGAAGTTAATCCCATTTAAATATAATGTTCCATCATAGGCACTCATCTCGCCGGATGTGGCCAGCGAGGCGATGCGCGCTTGCGGCTCCTATTTGCTGAAAGTCCATGAGCTGCAGCGCACGATTGACACGTTGGTTTATGACATGAAGCTGTTTCACTCTTGGATCATATTCACTATACTGCGCCTGTCCCATCAAGAGATACCCGATGATATGGTCTTTACCGGAAAGGAGAATGTTGCACTGGCTGAATTCTTTTGCGCCATGGAGCCCGATATCCCGGAACCCAGTGAGGGCGATGACGGCATTGAGGAGAAACCGGCAACAGCGTCTGGCATAGCAGGAGAGGATTCGTCTGGTGATGCCAGTCCAAGTCCGACGCTAACCCCGCGCAGTAAATTCAATTTGGAGCGCGTTGGCCAATATCTGGAGAATTCATATCTAACCCAGCTGCAGACAGTGAACCCAGACGAACTCTGGCCACGCCTGCTAGCCGAAAACGAATGCCTGGCGCAGTGCAACCTGTTTGTGCCACATGACAAGAAATTGTCACTGATACAGCAGCGCGACAAAATGTTTAACGCCATCGACGCAGTGTTCCATAAGCCCACGGAAAGCATTAGTGCCAGCTTCAAGCTGAGCACAGCTGTGATATGCAGTGATCTGCAACAGTATCCGAACGAATCTGCCGCTGACCCGGAACAGCAATCCAATTATGATTTTGTTAATTGCAGCTACCATGTGCACGAGGCGACCAAATGTGATATGCTGGCGTTGACAATCAGCCTACAAGAAGCCATGGTGTTGGAATTCAGTCGCGGCGATGATTACTTGTTGCGCTGCACGCGCGTACATCTGCAGCCTGGCCCGATCACGCCTCAGCTGCAGGAGGACTACTACAATCTGCGCTTTGTCGATCTCCAATTCTACAACGAATCCTCCATATCCATGCTGGCGCAGACGTCAACGCCTGCCACCGGTATACGTCCACACAGCTATTTTGTGCAGTTCTCGTTGAGCGCATCGCGCAATCACTGCACACAGCATCAGTTGGCACCCCTCATGAAGCTACCGGAGGCGACGGTGACGCACAGCGTCCACGATATACCGGATGCGGCCACATTTAAAGGCCTCGACGGTGTCTGTGAAATGTTGGCCGTCTCCGGTAGCCGCAAGGTGGCCACCGTTCTATCTGATCGCCGGCGCAAGATGACCATATACGAAATGGAGATAGAGGAGGAGGAGGATGACACGGAAATGTCCCAAGCGTCGTTCCTAGAGATCAGCAAAGAGTCTGTGCTGGCCACCTGCTCCAACGAAGCGGATAAAGCAGACACGTAGTATTAACCAGCCAGTGAATGGTTGGGGCAATACAAAATAAAAACAACTCGTTTTAATCGTTAAATCAATCTAAATTTCCAATCAAATTTTCCAACAGTGAAATTTCATTCGATTTTCATAATTTTTTGCTCCATTTGTTTTTCTTGTTACTACACTTTACTTAGCAAAGAAATAGTTAAGTATATTATAATTATAAAATACATGTATGTACAAAATTCAAAACAAGCGGTTCACGTACCACGTGCTGAGTCTTAATTAAACTTTATGCAACAAAATGCTGTAACATTTAACTTTGAGCCACGAAAATGTAAATTAACTAATCTAAACTAAGGCCCAAAACAGACCATCAACCAATTACCCTTCCAAAAAGAAAAGAACAAAAATCAGGCAATCGTTTCGAGTGAGAGAAAACTAGTGCTTAATTGTTACAATTTGGATCCATAAACCAATATATATATATATAGAAATCTGTAGCCAGACATAAGAAGTTCACTTGGCTCAAACGTGTGTTTAGCTAGAATATAGTTAACCTGATCTTGGCATAATAGTTTATATATATATATATAATGCATACACCCAGCATGTCTGAAGCTAGCTACTCATCTATCCCGCTCGCACATCACCTTCTTGCTGCTGTTGCAAAAGTGAAGCTACATTTTGGTATTTGGCTGGGATATGCGGTTCAGGTTCGATTGTTGGCCAAGTGTCGTATGGGCTTTTGGGAGCAACTGAACTAACTGATTTCGTACTGATATGCATCATCTGAATCCTCGTCGCTGGACATGTCGCGTTTGCGTCTCCGCTGCTCGCGTTTGCTCAGCTTTTTGGCTGGCTGTAGAGGTGCGGCCGCAGCCGTCGCTGTTGTCACCTCTGGCTCATCTTTCTCCTCGGGCACTGCAGCCTCCTCATCAATAGTGGACGTCTCAGGCTCAGCCTCAGCTTCTTCTTCCTCGGCTTTCTTCTGTGTCTTGACCAGTTCGCACAAGTATTTGTAGCGCACCAAGCACTCTTCCTTGGTCTTTTCCGGCACACTGTTGGCAATCTTTTGCCAACGATCGCCGCCGGCGGTTTTTCTATATTTAACGATGGCCGCCTCCAGAGCGCGCTGCTGTTCCTGGCTCCAGTTGGTCTCTGGTATAAGCATGCTCTTCTCATTGCCAGTTGGTGGGCCCTTTTTGCTCTTCTCCTTGCGCACCGCCTCCTGGGACTCCTGGACTATGTTCTCGGCAACGCTTTCCGTTTGTCCTGGTATCCGATAGCCGTTCTCCTTCATTTTGGCCGCCATGAATGTCACCTCTTGGACGGTGCGATTCATGGACTCGGCTATGGTATTCCAGCGACTGCCAGCACCGCCCGGATATTTCTTTACAAGCCTGATAAGTTCCGTCAGATCCTCGTCTGTCCAAAAGCCGCCGCTAACCGTAGTCTTTAAACGCAGTTGAAAAAAAAAACATTTAAGCAATTATCGTTAGATAGCTTGACGGGATTTGCCGCTTACCTTCTGGGAAACTGGACGTATTGCGTCATCTTCGGTTAGCTCACGCGCCTGGATTTGCGAATAGCCGCGTAACTCCTCCTCGGTCTTCTCAGGGGCCCGTGTGTTCTGCTTGCGCTTGCGCAGATTCTCTTTCTGCTCCTTACGCAGACGCGCCTGCTCCTCAGCCTCACGTTCCAGTTCCTCCTGGCGACGTGCCGCTTCGATCTCCCTGAAATTAATATTGTCGATTCAATTGCATATGAGCTCAGCCCCTTTTACTTACTGTCTGCGCTTCTCCAACGCCAACTGCTTCAGTTCATTGGCTTTGGTGAATGCATTTTTAATTGTCTTCGGCAGATTCCAGATGGCGACTGGTATTTGAATTGGCAGCGTATTGAGTAGTGATGGCATTGGGATCTCGTTCAGAATGACGTCCATGTCGATGTTTTTGTTGCGCTTCTGCAGCTTTTTGAGCTTGCTGCCGAACACCTGCTCGGCTGTGTACTTCTTTTCCAAGTAAGCTGCCCAGGCGAACATGTACTGGCCCACGGTGATGATCAGGAATATAATGAAGGCGCCCTCGTAGAGACCAATCTTACGCATCCTGCGGTAGTAATAGAGAGCGGACTTCCAGTTGGGCATGCCGTCGCGCAGCACCTTGTCGTATTTTTCGCGTTTGGATGCATCCTTGAGCACCTCGTAGATGGAGACGAGATTACGAAACTGGATATTGGCATCCTCGGCCGGATTCTTGTCCGGATGCAGCACAATGGAAAGCGTGCGAAAGGCGCGCTTTATTTCATTGTTCGTGGCAGTGTGATTGATACCCATAAACTCGTAGAAGTTCTTGTTGACCTCTTCGACGAGATCGAAAATCTCCAGCTCCTCGGAGTGCCAGGCGCTTGCTGAACCGCATAGTAGCAGTAGGCCAAATAGTAATGACGAAAGTGTCGTTCTCGTGTGCAGCTCCATTTAAAATCGTTTAATAGAAATCAACTAAAACCGAAAAGCGGCGGACCCCTGCACGCCTACACATACACATGCACACAGGCATTCGCGCACGCACTCACGGCGAGCTGTCAACGTCAAAAGTGGCAACGTCAGCAGTAAACAAAAACAATACTTGCCAACGTTGCCATATCGTTCGACACCAGGGTGGTGGTAAGCTAGGCAAATAGTTTTAAATTTGTGACGAAAAAATATGTGTTCTCGAGTTTTAAGCGTGTTTTGCCTGATTTTAAGCATACGCATAAGTATTACAAGTTTATCATATGGCAAATGTTTATATAAAATCAGAGCTATCGATAAGTGCGCGTGCAGCTCTGCAGCCCAGCACAGGCCTGTTAAATGCTAGCGATATATCGCATAGAAAACATAGCTAATAGCAGCCACACACAACCTAGCGCTATAGGATTTGCAAAAGACGAAAACAGTGAAAGCGGTGTGAAAAAAGCAGGCGAACAGAGATAAGAAACAAAATACAAAAGTCAACGCAAGCAGCAGCGGCGCAGCGTCAACTCAGCGCTAGCCGCTGGGGCTCTTTTTAAATGGATTAAGCGTTGCTCACACAGCCAGATAACAATACGCCAGGGGGAAGCGAAGCGAGAGCGCGGACCGGACCGGAGCAGAGCAGAACGGAGCCATGTCTTCGGCCGTCAATATACAAATCGTATCGATGCCGAATCTGGCGAAGATCGAGAGCTTTTTCAAGGATGTCAGCTATCGCGAAACGATCGAATATAGCGCCAATTTCAACACACGCCTCTGCATCGAGCGGCGACTGCGGCTGCCATTTCTCGATCCACAGACAGGCGTTGCACAGAATCACTCCCAGCTGTTCATGGACAAGCGACAACGAATGCCTGGCTTTCGCCAAGGCCAAATCTACACGTATCCCGCGGCACGTTGGCGCAAAAGTCGGCGCCAGTACTTGACCAAGATGTACACGTGAGTTTCTCATTGACTACTTCCATGCTGATATCGTAGCTAAATCTAACCTCTACACACACGCGCACACACACACACAGTCGATTTCCGGAGCGCCCCTTTCAGGCGCTGCGCAAAGAGCACGAGGCGTTGGTGGCCAGTGGTCTTAATATTGGTGGCACTGGTGCCAGCGGCACCGCTAGCATAGCCAGCACCAACAGCAGCAGCTCAACGTTAAGCCTGCCCAACATGCTGACGGGCGCGGGCGCATCGACAACGCCAACAGTGCTGAGTACGCTACACAACGATACGACGCACGATTTTAACGGTGCGTTCAGCATGGAGGAGTCTTGTTCGCTGGGCGCCGCCGGCGGCGACACCTCCGACAGCAAAGACAGTCAATTGCAAACACAGCAGCAGCAACAGCAGCAGCAGCAGCAACAATCAAAAGATGATCTGCCCAAGGAGTGGTTCTACGATGAAATGGACATGAACGACGTAGACTCGCTGGAGGAGCCAAAATCTCCGGCTGACGATGAATACGACTATGATCCGCGATATGGTAACAAAAAGCGGCGCAAACGTCGACCGGGCAAGCGTGCAACGATACACGCCAGCAGCGAAACTGCCAGCACCAGCAATAATAGCAGCGCGCGCCGACGCAGCGCTGTGACGCGAACGCGTGTTACCACGACAGATGCGGCGCTGGATGCGTCACTGGAAGCAATAGAGGCGGGCGACATTGGCGGCACACCGACATCTAGCGGTGGGCGCAGATCTCGCGGCGCTGGCACACGGGGCAGGCGACGTGCCAAAGGCGCCACAACTGGCAGCACCACGACTAACGCCAGCGGCATGCCCAGCAATACATGTGATCCGCCCAGTCCGGGCCTGGTTAATGAGCCACCATCGTTCGAAAGTGCCGCCGCCGCTGTTGGCGTTGGTGTCGGCGTTGGCGTCGAGGATGGCAATGCGCATTTGCGCAATTATCGCAAGTATCTGTAACGCTAGGATCAGCCCATGGTGGCCCATTGGTGGCATTTTGCATGGACCACATTCACCCACTACCCAAACTACCTATCAGTCTATCTACTTATCTGTTTATTGCATTCGTTTCCTAAACGGTGATTACTATTTTTTTCAACATCTGTAATTTAAAGTTAGTTTAAGGCTTAGTTTATTAGTTCCTTATTCGAGTCCAGCACCTGACACGACCAGATCCGACCCGACCAGACCAGACCAGACTAACCAGGACGAAACCACCAAAACACATCCGAGCAGGCGTAGCTAAATTTGTATTCTACTGGTAACTCTATCGCCTATCTAATTGTACGTTCCCATAGCCAATTGATTGTTGATAATCTAACGTATATATATACTCTATATACACATTAATATATAGAATATACATAGGTATATTTATATATATATATATATAAAGCAACTTTACTTAAACTAAAACGAAGGCTGCGGCCAAATCAATCGCAATCTACAAACGGTTTTTGTTGCCGCCAACTTATTTTTTCTCAATCTTGATTTGTTCCCTTTTTTTTTTTTGTTGTTTTTTCTCTTTAATTTAATATAAATGTTAAGTTCAACTATTAAATTCATGGGCGTAATGTATTCTTAGGCAGTGTGGTAGGGTTTAGGGTTTCAGTCCAGTCCAGCGCAAAAAACAAAAAAATAGAAAAGAAAAACAATTTCGTAAACCAAAATTTTTCTATAGGAATAAATAGTACATTTCTTAAGGAAGAGAGCTGAAATACAAAAGAAAAAGAAACAAAAAAAGAAAAAGAAAAAAAAGAAAAGAAAAACTGTGTACATTTTGAAAATCAAAGACAAAAATTCTAATAAAATTGAAAAGAAAGAAAACAAAAATCATAATTTTACACACCTTTGGAAGGCTTTTATACAAATTTTTGAAGTTATTTAGATCTGGACTATACATGTTTATTGTATGTACATAAACAGTGTACATTACACTAACAATCAAAACTTGGCTGAAAAAAAAAAACAAAATAACAATTTGTATGATGAAAAAAAAAATACAAATAATATTTATGTATATAAAACTCGTAATTATAAAGCAATTTTCAACCGATCTCTATATTGTTTTGTCTATTCGAATCCAACATACAAACATTATTTGAGAACACAATATATATTTTTATGTATAAATTTTATGCGACAACAGAATCAACAATTAATGATCATTTCCTTTATTTACCGTAAGTGAGAGAGATGACGTCAGAAATTCTTCAGCTTTCAGGCAAAAGTTTCACAGTGAACGGCTCCCGTTAGAGTTTTACCGTTTAATGATCATATGGCGCTATTGCTGAAAAACTATCGACGCCAACTAGATGTCTGGCTGCTCACAGATTTGCCGATTTGCTGGCTTTGGAATTAGAAGCCGCGCAAGCGTTTGCAGCCTTGCTGCGTTTTGGCAGTGTGGGCGTGGATGTTGGCGATGGCGTTGAGGATTGCGTTGAGCGCTTGCGTTTGTTTTGCTTTTCCGACAGATCGTTGAATGCCTGCACTATTTGCTGATACATTTCATCGACATTGGGAAACTTTTGGGCGCGCGGTGTGCGTTTTAGACCGGACCAAATCGGACGCTGCTCATTGGCATTTGTTGTGGGATGGGGGGCGAAGGACAACTCAAATGCGCCGCGTCTTGGAGCTCCTTGGGCATTCAGCTGCAATTGGAGCTGAAATGGCTGGCCTGCAGCTTGCATTTTACTTAGCAGTGCGGAATGCAGCTCCTCGGCGCGACGACGAAAGACTCGTCACGAGCGGCAATGCTCGATGTAAAGCACTGGATTAGTGGGGTCCAGCGCTTTTGACTCCTCGCCTTCTGGCGGCGACTGCATGAAAATACATTAATTCTCATTTATTTATTCAAGTTAGCGACATATTTGCTGTAACTTACGCGTTTAGGGGCAGCCTTTTTAGCACGCTTTGGCGGCATTTTTACTCCTAGAAAAGAAACTGCCTTTTTTAAGAAAATGCGCGCTGAAATTCTTTGCAGAGTGATATTGTAAACTTGTATCGATATCATTAGTGCCTAGCAACAATGTGATTGTAGTACTATTGTGAATTAATTAAAAAAATATATGGCCACACAATTCTAGCACAAAATGCACAAGTGTATGGTTATCGATAATTTATTTAGCCAGCTAATCAAATAAAATGTTTGTATGATAGCGCAACATCTGGCAACGCTTGTCTTATATACTTGGCCCCTATACATGATATATATTATTGAATTAAACAGTTAATATTGGTGCAAGTGTTTAAACAAATGCAAAAGAAAAAGAAAAAACGATCTGTAACTGAGGCCTGTCAGTAGGATAATTATAAGTTTATAGGTATTATAGTTGCGATCCATGTAGAATTGAATAGTACGGCACTGCTGTAATTTATAATTTTCACAATTTTAGGCTATCATTGAAATTGTGTGCCGGCAAAATCAACGTGCCTGCACGTTGACTTTGGCGCCAACTGAATTAAATGGACGAGATTACGCCAAACGAAACTGCAGAACCGCCGGCTCAATCGCCGACGCCGCGTAAACGCCTCGGTCGGCCACCGAAGGCCCACCCACAACCGACTGACACAATTGTGGGAGCCGAGGCAACAGCTGAGGATATGGAGACGACGGCGACTTCGGTGGAACGTGTGCGTACAGTATCGCCGACATTGAACGAGTGCCGACGCAGCTCCCGCAAAAAAGTCATTAAATTCGATGTGCGCGATCTGCTCAATAAAAACCGAAAGACACACAAAATACAAATTGAAGCGCGCATTAATTCTAAAGCACTGCCAATTGCAAATGATGAAACAAGCACGCCAAGCACACGTTCACTTGCCGCTCTCGATGGCGGTTATGCAGCAGAAGCTACAGCCACAGCAGCTGGTCAATTGCCATCGGAACCGCCGCCGTCGCCGCGGTCGCTTGTTGATATCTTTGCCAAGCCAAAACTGACACCGAACCAGATTATTGGCCAAGTGAACAGCGAGGAGCCGGGCTTGGCTGGTCAGCAAAACCAAACTGAACCAACACAAGCTGGGGCAATGCCGGTCCAACGCAAACGTGGACGCCCGCGCAAGGCACAGCCGGCGCCGGTGCCAAGAGATGTTAGCGCGAGCCCTGCTGAAATTAAACGCAGCATCAGCTACTCGGATTCGGATACCAATTCAGCCAACTCCACTGCCAACGGGGATAGCGACGCCTGCTGTGAACATAAACTAAAACCCAAATTCAAATCCAAGTTGCGCGTATCGCTTAAACGCATGAACCTGCCCATAAGTCGGGATTCATCTGACTCTGGTGAGTCGTTAAAGGGCCCCTCACTGCCAGTTAACCCATTGGAGTTGTCCACATCTTCATCAGAGTTACCTGCATTGCAGGCAATTGATGAACTAAACGAGCCAAAGCCGTCGGTCAATACCAAAGCGCCGGCGGAAACAAAAGTAAACATTAAGACTGATACAATAACTGTGCTGCCAGCAGATGAAGCAGATTCTGCTTACCAAATAATATTTGAGGAAGTAGAAACGGCCAAGCCGGAAAAGGACACTGAAACGAAGGCGGATGTGGATGTGGAGCTGCCTGCTGAGGAGAACAGCAACAATTTCAAGCTGCTTTTCCCCAAAATAGTAGAAGAACAGCGGCCGCAGCAGAAGACAGACACTGAGTCGGAGTCAAGGCCGAGTCTCTGCTCTGCCAAGGATGTGGATAAGCAACAGTTGGAGCGCGAATCGCCAAATCGAATAAGTAGCTTGGGAGAGCAGATCGCAGAAGAGCAAAGCATGCAGGCCAACTGTGCTGTCTCACCAGGACCTACATGCAAGCGGCGCAGCAAGCGTTCCAGTTTGCGTGGCAGCGCACTCAGTACAAACGGCAGCAAGATGACGCTGGAGGAAACATTTGCCGAAATCACAGCGGCTAGCTCCAAACAAATCTTGCTGAATGAAGCAGCCGAAGAGCCGCAGAAGCTAGATGCACCCATTGATCTCGTCGAAGAATGTAGCAATATTTGCAATAGCAATAGCAATAACAATAGCGACCTGTTGGAATTGCCGCCGCAATTGAAGGACAACTTGAAAACTAATTATAAATTTGAAACACAAAAACAAGTGTCTAACACTTCTGTCCAATCGGATATAAACGATGTCCAATTGGAATGTGCTGCCTCCGAGCAGCTGGAGGCGTTGACAGTGACTGCAACGGAGGCAGCTAAAGGTCCAACTGAGCTGCCTGCGCAGGCGATTGATGATAAGATGATTGCAACTGTAGAGCAGCAGCCCTCGCCAGATCAGTCTGCCGCTGAAGCAAAGGGAACCCTTACGCCAGTTTCTGCCCTTTCCAGTCCAATTGTGCCAGCAGCAGCAACTTCCGTTGAGCCATTATCGAAGCCATCAGAGGCTTCACTCAAACTGGAGCCGCCCGCACGCAAAGCGGAGCAAATGCCAAGCGGTAGTCCCACTGCCACAGCCAATAGCAATGTCGCAGACAAAGCCAAGCAGGAAATGGTGAATGGCAGCCAGGTGCCTCTTGTGTCCGTGTCCATAGTCGAGTGCGATGCGCTGTTCAAGGCCATGGACAAGGCCAGAGCCCAGGTGCGTCATGATGAGAAAACTAAAAAGAAGCTCAAGCTGTGTGCCAAGAAGCAAACAGCCAAACTGGAACTGCAGTCGGAGGGACACAGCAACAGCAATTCACCTACTGTGTCCTTGGCCAACGCCAAGAAGCAGCGCCTCAAGAAGAATACACGTCGCAACACCATTTGCGAGTATCCCGCCGAGCTGGAGACTCCAGCGCTTTTGACCAAGCGACGCAACTCGCAGCATCCGCACAAGACATCCCAGAGTCCCGATAACCCGACGCGGGCCAACGAGCCATATCCCAAAGCGAAGCTTAAGAAAATGTTACGCAAACGCTTGTCCAGCAGCCTGATGCGTCAGAATTCGGTGGACTCCAGCTCGAGCGCCACGCAGTGTGCCTTCAGGCGCAAATCGGGCAAGGTCAGCGATGAAACTGAATCCACCGAGTCCAACAGTTCCGCCAGTAAAGTGCCCAGCTGTGGCATACCAACGCCCATAGCGGAGCTCGAGGCGCCCGATTCGTTAAAGGACATTGTCCAGTTCATAGAAACTGGTGTTAAGCTGCTGGAGGATGCGCAACAGCAGGAGCAGCAGTTGATAACAAATGTGCTGCCCGATGATGATTTTGCGCAGCGAGTGGCCAACATGGAAACACCCGCAACGACGCCCTCATCCTCGCCACAGCCCAGCAGCGGCACCAGCTGTAACGAGGATGCAATCGCAACTGTTGGCAGCGGCGCTGTACGACGCTCACATCGCATCAAACAGAAGCCGCAGCTGCCCAAGGCGAGCGTCGGGCGCGGCGTCAGCAGCAGCAGCAGCAGCCAGACATCCTCCGCCATCAGCATGGAAGAGCAGCTGGCCGAGCTGGCGCACATCGATGCCATCAATGAGCAGTTCCTGCGCCAGGAGGGCCTCAATTCGTTTCAGCTGTTGCGTGACAATTATTACCGTTGCGCCCGTCAGGTCAGCCAGGAGAACGCTGAAATGCAATGCGATTGCTTTCTCACCGGCGACGAGGAGGCCATGGGTCATCTGTGCTGCGGCGCCGGCTGCATCAATCGCATGCTAATGATTGAGTGCGGACCGCTGTGCACGAATGGTGAACGCTGCACAAACAAACGCTTCCAGCTGCACCAGTGCTGGCCCTGCCGCGTCTTCCGCACCGAGAAGAAGGGCTGCGGCATTACGGCCGAACTGCAGATACCACCGGGCGAATTCATTATGGAATATGTGGGCGAGGTCATTGACAGCGAGGAGTTTGAGCGCCGCCAGCACATCTATTCGCGCGATCGCAATCGCCACTATTACTTCATGGCGCTGCGGGGTGAGGCGATCATCGATGCGACCGCCAAGGGCAACATTTCGCGGTACATCAACCACAGCTGTGATCCGAATGCGGAGACACAAAAGTGGACGGTGAACGGCGAGTTGCGCATTGGTTTCTTTAGCGTCAAGACAATCATGCCTGGCGAGGAGATCACCTTCGACTATCAGTATCAGCGATATGGTCGGGACGCTCAGCGCTGCTATTGCGAGGCGAGCAACTGTCGCGGCTGGATTGGCGGTGAGCCGGACTCGGATGAGGGTGAACAGCTGGATGCGGAGAGCGACAGTGAGCCGGAATACTTGGCCGAGGAGCCGGACGAACTGGAGTCGGGACAGGGCCCGGAAACCGACAAGAAGGCACACAAAACCAAAACAACCAAGAGCAGCAAACTGAAGCCGTGCAAACCATTAAAGGTGTCGACAGCGGCGCGCAAGATGCGCAAGGAACAACCAAAAGCCAAGGATCGCGAATACAAGGCCGGACGTTGGCTACGGCCATCTGGCAGCGGCGGCGGCAGCAGCGGCGGTGGTGACAAGTCTGCCGCACGTAAGCTAGAAAAGGTCGAGGATCCGGATGTGCTCGAGCAGCTGCTGCTGCTCAATCGCAGCGGCCTCAAGAATCAAATGGACACGCTGCGCTTCTCCCGTTGCATGGTGCGTGCCAAGCTGCTGCAGACACGCCTCCAGCTGCTGGGCGTGCTGACGCGCGGCGAGCTGCCCTGCCGCCGGCTCTTCCTCGACTACCATGGCCTCCGGCTGCTGCACGCTTGGATCAGTGAGAGCGGCAACGACAATCAGCTGCGTCTGGCTCTGCTCGATGCTCTCGAATCGCTACCCATACCAAACAGGACGATGCTCAACGACAGTCGTGTCTATCAGAGCGTCCAGCTCTGGAGCACCAGCATGCCAGATGAGCAGCAAAAAGAACAACAACAACAACCATCCCAGTCGGAGCACGAGCTGGAAGCAGTGCGCCAGCGCATGGTGGCGCTGCTACAGAAATGGAATGCCCTGCCCGAAATCTTTCGCATACCGAAACGGGAACGCATCGAACAAATGAAGGAGCACGAACGCGAGGCGGATCGTCAACAGCAGCCGCATTACACGGCCACCGCACTAGAGGATAGCAACAGCAACAGCGCCTCCTCGCTGCTGAACAGCGATCGCTACAGACAGGATCGCTTCAGGCGCGACACCACCAATCGCTACGAGAAGCCCAAGCAGCCAGCACGTATGAGCGGCAACAATACCATCTGCAGCCAACTCGCACAGCCCAAGGAGCGCAATGCGGGCAACGCAGAAGGTGGCGCCGGGAGCAGCGGCAGCGGTGCTGGCAATGCCAACGCCAGTTGCTTCAATGGCATCAGCAAATGTGATCCACGACGGCGATCCGAACCGGCGGCAGCCAGCGACTATGACACACGCCGCACCATATCCAAGAAGCTGCGACGTTCCCTATTCGAGCGAAAGGTATGTAAACATTCGGAGCATTTGGAGTCATCTGACGAGGCGTAATTAATAATTGACATTATGTTACTCGACAGGTGGCCCAAGACGAGGCGGAGAAGCGCGTTTGCAGCGTGGATTGGCGGGAGCACGAGCTGCGCTGTGAATACTTTGGCGCTGATCTAAAAACCGATCCCAAGCAGCTGCCCTTCTATCAGAATACGGAGACCAACGAGTGGTTCAACAGTGATGATGCGCCGGTGAAAACGCCGCAGCGCTGCGGCAATAGCAACTCCAGCGGCGCTTCCAGTGAGCCGCACTCGCCGGAGAGCAGCGGCGATGGTTTGGAGTATAGATTGCCCGGCTGTGTAGAGCCGTTGCCGCCTTCCTGGCACTGGAGTGTTACGTCCGACGGTGATATCTATTATTATAATCTGCGGGATCGCATCTCACAGTGGGAGCCACCAAATGCGCAGCAGCGCATGCAACAGTTGATCGACGATTCGCCTGGGCCGGAGCGAACAAACGGACAAGCGGAGCACACGACCGACGAGCTGGTGAAGATTGATGTCGACTATGTGGGCAGCCTCAGTAACAAATCGCTGGCGCAGTACATCGAGGCGAAGGTGCGCGAGCGACGCGAATTGCGACGCAATCGTCTTGTCTCGGTCTGTGTGATCAGTCCCCGACGCGAGGAGGATCGCCTCTACAATCAGCTGGAGGCGCGCAGGTACAAGGAGAACAAGGAGAAAATACGCCGCCGCAAGGAGCTATTTCGCTGCAACCAAAACGAGACCGACAACAAGGACAAATCCAGCGATATGCTGCCCATTCAGGCCTATTTGTACTCTTCCGATGAGGAGATCGACGCGGATGCCGCCAACATAGCTGTGCCCGGCAGTGCTGCTCTGCCGTTGCTCGATGTCATTGTCGATGGCGTCAAGGCTACGCATGTGGACGAGCTGGAGGCACTGAATCGCAGCCAAAACAACCACAACAACAACATTGCCAAAATAAGCACGTCTCACGTGGAGCCAAGCACCAGCAAATCGGCGCTAGCTGCGCTCGGCATTCAGCTGCCACCAATGCCGCTGTCCATGTTGGGTGAGTTGGCAGGCGATGCCCTGGTTAAGCCAAAGCGCAAGCTGCCCATGCCGCCACAACTGACCGAGAGCCAGAAGAAGCATCGTGGTGAGCGTGAAAAGAAGCGTAAAACGTAAGCGTACAAATCATGCATATCCAAATCCTATCGAATACAAGCAGCATTCACTCAAATCCTTTCAGGCCACTGAGCAGCACTTCCAGCGGACGTGAGGCCTGTGAAAAGTTTCGCTTTGAGATAAGCGGCCATGTGGCCGAGTTCTTGCGTCCGTATCGCAAAGATACCTGTCATCTGGGCCGGATCACCAACGATGCTGACTACAAGTTTCTAATTAAACGGGTAAGTGCCTAGAAAGCGGCATCTACGATCCCATTAAATATATATATCTCTTGCTGTCTGCCTGTCTGTCTGTCCATATGTATGAGAGACTATACAAGCCTGAAATATTGAACGTAGATAATTTCCCGCTCTACCGATCCAGATTATGTCAGTTTTTTGAATACCCTCTAAAGTTTCGCCCACAATTATAATTGGGCTTTGCTATTCACACACACATTAGGGCGGCATAGTTATGCTGTTAACATGAGAATTTCTTATGGTATGCTGCAGTCCAGGATATCTTCTAGTCGGCCACTCGCAACTGACTGTAAATTCCCATACTTAAGCAGATACTAACACATGTATTATGGGGACTTATAACTATGATAATTATATTGTGTATAGTTGTCGTAAAACTTTTGTTATGTTCTTCGTTAGCTGAGCCACCATATCACGACCAAAGAGATGCGCTACTGCGACTTGATTGGAAATCCATTAGCCTGCACCGAGTCGGTGAAGCACAAGTCCTACGAATTCATCAATCAATACATGCGCAAGAAGGGGCGCGTGTACAGGAAGCCCGCCGATGAGCCCGACTGCTAAACAACAGTATCCGCCGTATTCGGGCACACCATGTTGTCCAGCCAATGATCAGAGCAGATGAATCAGATATTTATCATAGTTTTGTTTTTATTTTTGTTTTATTTTTTTTTTTTTATTATTAATATTAATATTCTATCCAGTGTTTGGGTATAAACTCAGTTTTTCATTCTCATTTTTATCAGTTTATTCGTGGCGATTTGACAAAAACAAAAAAAAAACACCTAAGTTAACGAGTTCCTCGTTGCTCAAAATGCATGAAATAAAAACATCTATTTTAAAATTTAACGTGATTTTAAATTGCAATTATTAATCACATCCAAGAGTTTCAAAACCGTTTCATGTAGACTTCCGTTACTTTTGCATATTAAAGTATGGCAGCGCTGGTGGTGCTGCCATATCTGTAATCCATTCAGCTTTAACAAGCTTAGCAGCCGACGAGAAAAACAGTGCGCCAAACTGGCAACCTGATCTCTTCCTAATTGCTCAACAGTTAGTGTTCGACAACACGCAAAAAAAAAAAATAAGTAATACGCTAAAATTAAAATCTGAAACTAATACATTTTTTATTCAATGAATAATTTAAAGCAGTGCACAGAAGCGATACACACACATGACTATTGTGTGTGCGGTTGTGTTATTGGGTAAAAGGATGTTCATCTATTGTTGGGCGGACTGCTGGACTTCAGTGGCATTTGCGGCTGGCGTGCGATTGGCCTCCTCGGGTTTCATGGCAGGGAACAGCAGCACCTCCTACAAATAAACACAGAATTATTGTGATGTGAAACTGGTTTTGTTTTTTAGCACAAACCTTAATGTTGTTGGAGTCGGTTAGGAACATGGTCAGTCGATCAATGCCCATGCCCCAGCCACCAGTTGGTGGCAGGCCATACTCCAGCGCCGTGCAGAAGTTCTCATCCACCATTTGAGCCTCGTCATCACCTGCGGCCTTATCGCTGGCCTGCTGTTCGAAACGTTCGCGCTGAACCACAGGATCGTTCAGTTCTGTGTACGCATTGCACACCTCCTTTTTGGCGACAAAGAGCTCGAAACGCTCGGTAAGGCCAGGCACACTGCGATGGTACTTGGCGAGCGGCGACATAATTTGCGGATGCTCGCAAATGAATGTTGGATTAATGCATGTCTCCTCGATAAAGTCACCGACCAGTTTGTCTAGCAGACGGGCTGTGGTGCGTGGCGCTGGGCACTCCACCTGATGTTTGATGCACAATTGGGACAGAAATGCGTTGGTTTCCGGGCTATTGAACGTGTCCGCCGATGGGAACTTAACCTGCAGCTTCTCTTCGAGTGTTTTGATCATAGAAACACGCTTAAAAGGTGGCGTAAAGTCAAGCTCCTGCTCGACACCATCCGGCCCATCCGGATGGTATTTAATTTTGTACGAGCCGTGTATGGCCTTGACCATGCCAGAAATCATCTGTTCAGTTATCTCAATTAAATCGTAATAGTCTGCGTATGCCATGTAAAACTCGCAAGTGGTGAACTCAGGATTGTGGGTCATATCGATGCCCTCGTTACGGAACTGGCGACCGATCTCGTAAACTCGATCCATGCCGCCAACAACAAGCATTTTGTGATACAATTCTGGCGCAATGCGCATAAACAAATCCATTTTCAGTTCGTTGTGATGCGTTACAAAAGGCTTGGCTGTGGCGCCGCCAGCAATCATATTCATCATTGGTGTCTCAATCTCAAGGAAGCCCAGACGATCCAGAAACTGTCGTACATATGATATAATCTGTGTGCAAATAAGAATAGAATTAAAATATTTTTCTGCCTGCATATTTAAAGTGCTAGCTTCCTACCTTAGCACGAATCTGGAAATTCTCGCGCACTTTGCTGTTCAGTATTAGATCCAGATAGCGCTGGCGATAGCGCGTCTCCTTGTCTTTGAGCCCGAAATGCAGATGGGGCAGCATGTGCAGACAGGGAGAGAGCAGCTTCAGCTCGGTTGGCATAATGGATAGCTCGCCTTTCTTGGTCTTGCCGGGATGGCCGTTGACGCCAATGATGTCGCCACGACGCAGCTTGGCTGTGTCCAGCTCGAAGGCCTTCTCGCTTTTGTATGACTTGGCACTGGCCATTACCTGCAGCTTGACGCCTTCGCCGCGCAGGTCGTAAAAAATGAGCTTGGCACCTGACTCTCGAATGGCATGAATGCGTCCAGCTACACTCAAATTGACCTGGTCGAGTGTCTCGCCATCCTGAAGCTGAGAATATTGTGTAATAAAGTTTTCCAGTGAGATGCTCACTTGGAATTTGTGTGGATACGGATGATTTTCGGGCGTTTGCTTCAATTCAGCGACCGCAGCCGATCTCAGCTTAAAGTACTCATTCGGTGAGATTTCCTCTTCCTGCTCGGCGGCAGATTTTTTCTTTTGGCCGGCTTCTGGTGGCGCAGCAGCCGAGCGCGTTGCCTCCTTCTCAGCCTTTTCCTTGGCCTTTTGTTCAGCCTTCAGACGGCGTTTCAGCTCACTGCAAAAGATTAGTAGAAAGATTATCAGACGCATTGAATCATGGCTAATTTTGGGTACCAACAGTTTTGTGCCTTTGCTTGGTGCATACTGCATGGCGCTCACATGATATAATCTTGGAGCCGTCACCGTTGGCAGTTTGAGCGATGACAAACATATTAACTGTCTTAGAGTGCTACGCGCAAACATTTCACAGCCACGAATATAGGTCTTAGTCTATTTATGACAGCCGCGATTGCTACCAAGTAAGCAGTTCAACTTAACCTCACAGTTGGCGCCCAGTTGGCCGTTTTTCCGTGTTGGCTTTAGACTTCCAATTAACGCAATGATTGCACGTACTTACTTCTTGGATAGTTCACCAGTTGCAGTAGCCATGCCGATTGGCGTTTTATGAGTTCCGGCTTCGAGGGAAATTGCAAATACAAGAATGACTGCGAATGCGCCACACACACTCCAAGCGAATTGAAATAAGAGAGGTATACAACAATTGACGATATATCGATAACTATATTTGGAATAAAATACCTCACACTGTCAAGTGTACGCGTTGCCAACGAACTGAAAGCACGTGTTGCTAATATATATCAGCTGTTTTGTCAGAGCTTTTTAGCATAATCCGGCAGCGCCAGAAAAATTAGTTTTGGGATCGTGAGTAGAAAAGTCGTGAGCCATACGCAAATTTATGAAACATGCCGAGTTCTTGTCATTGACTTGTCAAATTTTAATTATAAGCAAATCATATAGTTGCATGTATTCGCCGCTTATGTATTAAATCGTAATTGTGCAGCCGGTATTGTTGATTTTTTATTTGTTTAATTGGTGCTGATACATTTTCTTGCTTGATCGTGAGTAATATATACTTTCACGTGCACATCTCCAATCAGCAGGTGAAATTGTGCCGGGCTGCCTGCCTGAAAACTGAGTGTGTAAGTAAAGCACAGACTAAACAAAATACACAAGCAAACGTTTCTAAACCTTATCAAACGTTATAACAGACGAATTATAATATTCGTCAAAAACATAAAAAACTAAAAAAAAAAAAATAAATAAATAAATAAACTAGTCTTAGCAGCTGGGCACAAGCCATGGTAACGGTTGGACTACTATCGCGCCTGCTTACTGGCAGCGGCACAGGCAGCGGCGTTGTCTGCATGCGTTTGCTCACGCGCATCGCCAGCCCCAACAGATTAAGCCTCAATCTAAATCCACGTTGCCTCAGCTTCTTGGGCAGCTTCAACAAGGGAAGCGGCAAAGAAGCATCGTCGGCCTCACCAACATTGCCTTTATCGACAACAACAACTACCACAATACTGTCGCCGCTGCTTGTGGCCAAATATCGCAGCTATGCGCGTCTCAGCAGCAAATCCACCGCGCACTGTGCCAGCGCCAATAAAACGGACACCAAATCCTCATCAACGGCAACAGTATCGAGCTCCAATGAACTGTTTGGAGAAGCGGCGAACATGGGCCTCTTTGCAAAGTTTAAGCACATGTACAAGCAGTATTGGTACGTGCTTATACCGGTGCATGTGATAACATCGATTGGCTGGTTCGGCGGCTTTTACTATCTATCAAAAAGGTAAGCAGCCCTCATATGCCCGTGTACAGCTACTAATTGTACATATGTACTGGCCAACAGCGGCGTTGATGTACCTGCCCTGCTGCAGTATTTGCACCTAAGCGAGAACATTATTGAGAAGGTGCAAGGCTCCGATATGGGACACTATGCGATTGCCTATCTGTGCTATAAGGTGGCAACGCCGGTGCGCTATGCAGTAACATTGGGTAAGTGACCACTCCCAAAAAAAAGAAAAAGAAGAAGAAGGCAAACACCGTTACAGCTCGAAACATATGTTTTCAGGTGGCACCACGATCTCCATCAAATATCTGGTGCAATGGGGCCATATTAAGCCCATGCCAACCAAGAGCCAGCTGATGAAAATGTACGAGGATACAAAGGCCACGCGTGCCAGTGCCAAGGCCAACAAGGACGAGAATCACAAATGATTGTGGGTTATTGGGCGTCTACGTCGCTGCCGCCGCCTGTTGTCGTCGCCGTCGCCATCGTCGTTGTCGCTGTCGCTTACCATGCGGCGTTCAGTTGGCTAGTTGTATTTTTTGTTAAACTGTTGCACGTTGATTCAGGCCAAGTGTCGTTTCTGGAATTTAAGTTTCTCGCCCAGACGCATATGTATACAATACAACTGAATAACCAATAATTAACGACGCTGCCTCCGTTTGAGAGAGGATAACACATCCAATACATCAATATTTCATATATATATATATATTTTGTAATAACATTTTTGCATAGTTTTTGTTAGTTACGAAACAAATTGCCGTTGCGCCGCATGCAAAGGAGACCCATACTCATACATACATAAACCAGCACGCAGCACGCACACAGACGGACACACACACACACACACACACACACACACACACACACACACACGCACACACACAAACATGCATATAACTCAGAGTAAGGCAGCCTCCGATACAGACAAGATGAAATGTAGTATATTTTATAAATGTAATTGAAAAGTTATCGAAAAAAAAAACCGAACTGGTATAAAACGTAAACATTTAGCCTTTGTATTTGAATCAATTGCCCCATTATTGCACCACATCGATAACGATTTCTGCAAAGCTCTGCTGTCCAATCAGAATTTTCAAAATATCAGCTGCTAGCCAGCCAGCCAGACGTGTTCATAGATAAATACAAAACACGAATATGGCTGTCTCTGTCTAACCAACATGCTATCCAATTCTTACCAAGTAAATAGTGATCGCTACACTTCTCGCGCCGCTAATCGGGCAAATCCAGTTAGATTAAGCTATGTGATTTACCGTATTATGAAAAAAAAAAAACTAACAAGAATAGTCACAAAAGAAATTCAATTTGAAAATTGTTTCCCTAATAATTATACCCTGTAGAAAGGGCATCAAGGTTTATATTCCCACTTTTTCGGACATTGATGATGAATATGCCCAACTGTCTATTATCTAGACGTATGACAATAACTTTAAGGATGCCTTCGCCCATATTACCATAGACTTTTCCAACCGAGGGGGGAGAGGGGGAGGGGGGTTGTTATTTCTGAAAATTAAGATAGTCTCGATTGGATTTTGTTTTTGCATTTTATATTTCGTTATCATTTTTTTTTGTTTTATTTTTTTTTATTTTCTTTTTTTTTTTTTTTGTTTGTAACGTTAGTAAAATATCCAACAATTATAATTGTAACTAATAGTTAAGCCAGAAAAAATATATATAGTAGTAGTAGTTGTTTCTTTCTTTTACAAATAAATAAATAATGTGTCTTGTTTTGTTTTCTATTAGTTTTTATGCTCTGTGTAGGCGAGTGTGTGTCGTGTGTGTGTGTGTGTGTAGTAGTAGCTCGTAACATGTAGGACAGTGTATTGTTTGCGTGGAAACAAGTTACATTTTGTACACATATACATTTTGGTTGCTGTGTGTGTGTGTGTGTGTGTGTGTGTAACTGTTTTCTATATCATTTACATAAATACAATACAATAAATAAATAAATAAATTATATAAATTAAATAGGCAACAAATAAGGTAGCAATAGCAATAAAAATATATGTGCGCGTGAGGGATTGGTACGGGTACACGGAAACAGGTTAACTAAGGTGTAAAACAAGCTAAACAAAAATGTTTATATAAATATAAATATATATATATATATATGTATCTATATAATAAACAAGGTGCTGCGTAAGTAGATACAATGTAAACATAACTCTTTGAGACTAGTTTGATGTTCGGCGGACGCTTGGATTGAATTAAATATAATATATATTTTTTGAATAGATTTGCATTTAAAGAAATTTGTAAATGTGAGTTTTTTTTTTTTTTTAATATTGTTGGTGTTCTCTCGTGCTATAATTATTTATTATTAGCTGCTAGCATTTATCATAAGTACGTTTCACAATGCAGCTTCAGTTAGTTTTAGTTTCTTCACGCCAAAATGTTTTTACGATTTGTTTTTTGTTTGTTGTCTCAGGTTTGTTTGTTTTTCTTTTTTTTTTAACAACTAATCATTTGCTAAAAGCTGTGTGTGTGTGTGTGTGTGTGTGTGTGTGTTTTGCTTTGTTTATGGAGCTGCGCTGCTCAGCGCCCCTATTTTCCCCTTATTTATATTTTATTATTGATTAATCATTCACCATTTGTTGTTGTTGCTTTTTATGAAATATATACTGATATACATTGCACAAGTTATGGTGAATGCTCAAATTAGTATTTCTTTTCTTTTCTTTTGTTTTTGTTTCTTTTTTTTTGTTGTTTTGGTTTTGTTTGGTTTTTGTTTTTGTTTTTTAATTTAGTTTCCTTTTTTTACACAACCACTTGACACGACTTTCGGCAAACCAAAATGTGGCAATTATATATAGTTGCATTGTTTCATCTAGTTTGAATTGGCAAATCGCTCCATATCTATATATATATATGTGTATATATATATAAATCTATATACTGCACACAATGTGTTAATGTACGGTTTTTTCTTTCTTTCTGTGTGATATATTCAATGGAGAGACGGGTCAAAATTTTCGCTAAAGACGCTTAGAAAACAAACTAAATATATGCCAGAGAAATGCAAGACAAAATTTGGTAAAAATAACAATTTTGTTGTTGTGTCGTGTGGTTCCTTTTTAGTGTGTTTGCGTGTTTTGTTTTTGTTTTTGTTGCTGTTGCTGTTGTTATTGCTATTGCTATTGTTTATTTGTGTTCAGTATAGAGCGATTGCAGTTGCTTCTGCTGTTGTTTGGCTTGCCGAAAGCGGTGTTACATAAATTGTTATAATTCTTATATTTTGTTCGTTCATCATAATTTTTTTGTTGTTTGTTTTGAATGTTGTTGTCTCATATGTTCTTGTTGTTGGTTTTCTGTTTTGGGTATTAGCCATCTCTTATGTACATCATTCAGCTCCAACGATCGTCAAACACGCTTGCCGTCCAATTAACCGTTTGTTGTTATTTGGCATTGGATTTGTGTTAAGAATTAGTTTATAGTTAAGTTTTAATTATAATTTACGCACGTTTGCATTATTGCAAAGTTCTACGAAACATTTACTAAGGTGTTGTGACTTTGCTGTTGTTATTGCACTTCTTTTTCATCTTTTGTTGTTTTTTTCTTTTCTTTCTGTTTATGTTGCAGTTGTTGCTGCTGTTATTATTGTTGCCGCTTAAGATGGTGTTGCTGTTGCTTTTGGTGTTGTTGTTGTTGTTGTTGTTGTTGCTGCTGTTGTTGCTGTTGCTGTTGTTGTTGTTGCTGTTGTTGTTAATGCTTATTGGATTCAACTGCTAGGTAATTGTGGGGAGTTAGCTTTACGCTCGTTCGTAGAATAAAATATAGGCACTGGATGAAACGAGACAGTTTTCAGGTATAGCATCGCTGACGCTGCAATTATTAATTATTATTAATAAAATATATAATCAATTGTATAAATAAACAATGCATATACCTATTATCATTGAACTCATGCCACTTGTGTGAGACCGGATGCTTACAGAGTGCCACATAATGACCACCAGCCGTTGAGCCTATATCAATCGGAAAGTTGAGTTTAGTTCAAGTAGAAGCGAGCTTGATTCAAGTGATCGCGGCATACCCATATGATTGGAGATCGCATAGAGCGAATAATGCACATTCGAATTTGCGTTGGCGCCATATGAGGCCATATTGAGCTCACGATCCGCTGTGGGGAACTCAACAATATTCGAGAGCTTGCTCCAGCGCGTTTCAGAGAAGCGTTTGAGATCTGAAACAGCAATAATTAATATACATATACATATATATAGAGTAACAAATATTATATATGCTTACGTATCACCAGATATTTGGGGAAACGCTGTATGGTAAAGCTTTTGGTACATTTTCGGCGTGTCTTGCATTTGGAGCATGTGGGCATCTCGTCACCGTCTAGCACCTCTTCGCGTATGAACAGATCTAAGCAGGCCTCCAGTTTGCAGCGCGATGACGATGGTAGTGGCACGCTCAAGTCCCAGAATGGGTCAAAGGTAACGCTTGTATTTCCACACGTTGTGCACTTTAGTGTGCTCTTCAATTGACCAACAAACAGATCACGTATCAGGGAATTCTCATGCCTAGCATACCACTCCCAAGTCAGATCGGCCTTCTTATTGTCACTAAAATTAATCAGTTTAAGCGGCTTGAGTAACAATTTGTAGTTTAGGTTAGTTTTAGTGCTCACCTGAGATTATCATCAATGTTAAGCGTTTCACCTTTGACGCCGGTGTTGAGCGCCGAGTGCAGCGAGTCAAGAAAGAAGCGCAGAAACTCCTGCGCATCCTGTTGATTGTAATCGCTGTACATGCGATGCTTTGTCGAAAAGGCGCGCTTCAGTTCCATCGGCGTTACGCTGTGCACATTTGTCGTCCACATTTCCTGTATGAGTTTGGCAAATTCTAAAATAAAATCGTGTCAAATGTTATGAATCGGAATCGGAACACCACAGTGATCGCTTACCGTGTAGTATTTGCTGATCCTTGGAGGTTGCCGTGCGCGTGCTGGTATGATGTGCGCGCAGAAAACGCGTCAGCTCAGTCGTGTGACTCAGGCATTGGATGACCGAGTTCATGAAGCAAGTGTTTCCAATGTTTCTCAGACCGCATAGACCTGTGGGTGAGGGCATATTATCAAAATTTTTAATTATTAAAAGCCATTTGAGTTATTATAGCTAACTGGGCGTGGCCCAAAAGGCACTCCCCAATTCGGATGGCGTGTTATGGATTTGCCTTCTTCGTGTTCGATTGACGGCCGGCATTCTGAATGGTTTTGAGATCTAGTTTATGCGGTAGTTCCTACGTATGTATATCTGGCTCACTATGTCAACTGGCATACTGGAATAATCTAACTGACATCTAATACCTACAGGCCGAGCACAGCCTACTGAAAGGCGAACTGAAGTTACGAGAAAATTATAAAATGTCCATATGTAACTTGTGTGTGCTCTATTTTATGAACACATATTATGTACTTTTTGAGCCATTTGTATTTGGACTCGCATCGAAATAAGTTAAGGCCTACTTAACCTTATCGTATTTTTGAAAGGCAAACTTTTCTATCGAAACTGAAAAACTGAATAAAATATGAAGCTAACTCTTTGATTGAAACTAAACAAAACTACGCAAATGCTTGGATTAGATAAGTTAACTCACCCTCGAACTTCTCGTCACGGGTGCTTTTGTAGCCATCATCGAGATTATTATGCTTATTGCTCAACGATGATGTGCCAATGGAAGAGGATGTGGCGTTGGTATTGTTGCGTCCGCTGTCCCGATCCCAATAGCGGCTGGATGTTGGCGAGACAGGTGGTAGCACTGAACGAACGGTGCCTCCGGTATTCCGTGATACCTGCACCAAATACAAATTCGATTTATCGATGTACATACAAAAATCCGAGAGAAAAAATCGCAATGACAAAATAACAGTTATTCAAAAGCATCGAGCAATCGATCGTTAGAAAGGGATGCATGTGTGTTGAAATTGGCTGGCGTATTGGTGTGCGAGCGAGCGAGCGAGCGAGCGAACGAACGAATGAACGAACGAACGAGCGAGTGAGTGTGTGATTGTGTGAGTGTGTTTGGCGGTTAAAAGAAAACACAAGCATGCAAACTTAACGAAACGCAACAACAACGCAACATGACCAAAACATAAAATTGTGCATGTGCTGGCGAGTTGAGAGAGGAAGCGAGCGAGCGAACGAGCAGGGGTTAGCGAGAGGGAGACAAAATGATTAATTATCGTTACGATATCGATATCGATAGGCAAAACGAAACCAAAATCCAATTCGAAATCAAGGCGCGTTGTTCTGAAAAACCTATACCAAAATATAATAAGCTACAATAACAAAAACGCAACACACACACGCACACACAGACGCACACACATACATACAAAATCAGGATATGCTGAAAACTAAAAACGGATTACGGTGTATTCTGTGCTGGTGATAAAAATGAACAATGGAGCTGCTCAAAAAAGTAGCTCCTTTAGCTGTTGCTTAAAACGTTAAAAACTATAAACTGAAACACACAATGAGACTAAAAGAGAGAAAGAGAGAGAAAGAGAAATTGGGCAAAGAGCGCAATGAGAGCGCCACCCCCAAGAAAGTTGGGCGCCACTTACGCTGTCGCTGGCTGTGACGCTGTTGAGTGTGGCAGCGGCGGCGGCGGCGGCAGAGGAGGAGGACGAGGAGGAAGAGTAGGCGCCCTGAGCGCTGGCAGAGACAGCAGCTGCTGCTGCTGCTGCCGCTGCTGCTCCGCCCGCATCGTTGTTGTGCTGATGATGCTGATGCTGCTGATGATGATGATGATGTTGATGAAGATTTACCTTGTGGCTGCTGGCGGTTGCAGACGCCGCCGCAATCGCTTGGCCAGCCTGACAATCGGAATTGGTCGCCGCCTTGGCCAACAGACCGTGCGCAATCCGGCTGGCCGATTTGCTCATGGGCGCCACGGTCGCGGTCGCTGCCGTCGTGGCCGTCGCGGCATTGTTGCCGCTGCTGGTCCGATACGCGGCCCGTGTCAAGGAGCTGCTATAACCGGCCGCAATCCGAGCGTTCTCCATGTCGCCGCTGTAGCGCTGCTGCAGATTGCTGCTGCTGCCCGATGTTGCTGCTGCAGCAGCGACGCCAGTTGCTGCTGTTGTTGCCGACGCCGCCGCCGCTGCTGCTGTTGTTGCTGTTGCTGCTGTTGGATTATTGCGCAACGGGGCTGGCTGTCGCTTCTGTTCGCTGAGATTATTGAACTTCTCAATGGAGGCCTTAATACTGAGTGAATCGATGCCGTAGCGACGCGCATTGCTGGCATTGCCGCTGCCGTTCTCCCGCTCCCGCTCACGCTCCCGTTCCCGTTCCCGCTCCTTGGGCCGTTGTTCGCCATTTGTGTGCTTATAGTTGTTGAACTTCTCATAGCTGGCCGCAAAATTCGAATTGGAAAACGAGATGATTGTGGACTTGGGCCGCATCGCACGGTGGCCAATTGGCTTGTCGCCGCCGCCGCCGCCGCTGCTGCCGCTGCTGCTGCTCAGCTGCTGGCTGCGCAGCTGCAAGGGCGGCGTTATGGGCTTAAAATAACAGATATTGGCCAGCTTTTGGCCCGATGTTGTTGCTCCAGATGTTGTTGTTGTTGTTGCTGCTGTTGCTGTTGTTGTTGCTGCTGCTACAGCAGCAACTGTTGCTGCTGTGCTTGTCGGTGTATCGTCGCTATCAATGTAGCTAATGTCATCGTGTTGCTGATGTTGCTGTTGTTGCTGGCGTTGCATGCTGTTGTTGTTGCTGTTGCTATTGTTGCTGCTGTTGTTGTTGTTAATGTTATTGCTGTAGCTGCTGTGACTATTCATGGCGCTGTGATTGTTATTGCACTGCAGCACAAGCGGCTTCAGCTTGCCAGCCGCAAGTCGTCCACCTGCTGCCGCTGCTGCTGCTGAAGATGTTGCTGCTGCTCCAACTGTTGCCTTTTGGCCCAAGGTCAGCTGCTGCTTGCCCTGACTATGGCTATATCTAATATCGATCCTGTGGACGGCTGTGTTGTTGCCGCCAGCTATTGTTGTTGTTGCTGTTGCTGCTGTTGTTGTTGTTGTTGTTCTACTGGCGTTGCTGTTGCTGCTGTTCGTGCCGGCCGCTTTGTTGCCATTGAGCGTCGTCGGTCGACGCATGTCATTCAATAGAATCTCGCTGCCCCCAATGCCCCCGTTTGTTGCTGCTAACGCGGCTGCAGCTGCTGCTAGTTTGCCGTTGCGGTTGCCGTTGCTGCTGTTGTTGTTGTTGTTATTCTTGTGATCGTCGCTGGTTTTGTTGCGCTTGTTGCTTCTGCCAGCTTGCGTCTGTTTGAGCGTCACCTGGGCATGCGCCAGCTCGCACTCGGCCTTGAGAAAGCTGGGATCCTTGTAGCTGGATACCAAGAAATACCGCTGATTGGCCGCACGCACAGGATTAACCCCGCCGCCGCCGCCGCCACCGGCAACTGTGCTTGAATTTTGTCCGGCTGCACGCACGCTGCTGCCGCTTGGTCCTGTCCCGTTGCTGGCAACGTATTTGAGAGCAGTCGCTTGCTTGTGGACAATGCTGACGCCGCCAGCGCCGCTGGCTTTCAAGGATTTGGCGTGTCGCGACGCCGTCTGCTGATGCTGCTGATGTTGTTGCTGGTGTTGCTGGTGCTGCTGACTATTATTGCTGCCTCTTTGCTGTTGGCCGTCGGTTGTCGCTGCTGCTGCTGCTGCTGCTGCCGCAGTGTTTGCCTCGCGCTGCAGTTTGGACGCTGGAATCTTATGGAATCCTCTGGTTTTCTTAATGTCTAACATCATTCAACGGCTCCTTGTCGATTGGCGGCTGCTGCTGCTGCTGCTGCGGCTGAATTGTGGTTTTCTTTCTCTCTACACTTTCCTTGTTTTATGTATTTTGCAATGCTTTTTTTTTTTCTTTTCTTACTTATTTAACGCCTTATTATTATTAATAATTCTTTCTGTTCTATTATTATTGTTGTGATTACAGTTACGGATAGTTGATGTTCTTCTTGTTGTTGTTGTGTTCAATTTTTTTTTATCGAATTTGAAAAGGTGTGTTGTGCTTACCAAAAATACATACTCTCAAAACTACCTTATACACACATTTGGACTGTTTGCAAATACAAACTACTGCGTTAAACTAAAATTTTTCAAATATGGTTAGTTTTGAACTTTGTTTGGAACGCCTGCCTAAATTATTATCGATTCGATCAGTTCTACAAATTACGGTTTGCAGTTGCGTTATCGATAATTTATTGGTTTTTGGTTTCGATTGCTCTGGGTAGAATAGTTATATGATTTTTGTCTTCGTTAGCTTTCAAATTACTTGAGTTAATCAAGTTAATAATCAAGTGAGTTAGTTTGGTTAGTTAAAAGGGGCGCGATCTGCAAGAGTTTAGCTAAAAATATATAGAAATACATATATATTGATGTAAATCGATTAATTGCGATTAAATGCGTGTAACGGTTTAGCCACAAAACGAATAACAAAGAAAAGCCAGATAGTAAAAAACTGAGAAAATGGAGCAAGAGAAACAATGTATATATGTAAATGCCAAGTGAGCTTCAATGTCTATATATATATACATATATATATATATATATATATATATATGTATGTACATCTGTACCATTATACATATATTTATATATATATATAAGTACATGATGATTAATCGGGTTGGTTGCTTCATCGACGTTGACTGCGGTAAAGCAAAAATATCCTAACACATATGTCAAAGGAGATGGGGGGTGGGTGGTGGGGTGGGTTTTGGCTTGGGCAAGGCAATATCAACGATATATTCGTTATTCACACGCACACACACACACACACACACGCACTGAAGCTTATGCCTATCGATAATTAGTTAACATTTATCGCTTGGCAGCGGCTCTTCGCGGGTGGCAACCCTGGCATGCGATTAGTATTAATATTATGTATTTTTTTTTTGGCTGTCAGTTGCTTAGATATCCTGGCTTATTGCATTTTCAGCTCGTTTACCTTGCTGCGCGCAGCGGCGCTCTCTGCCAGCGTCAGCGTTGCTGTGGCGCTGACATCACCATCAGCATCGGCGTCGCCATCAGCTGCGCCATTGACATCACCATTGGCCTTGCCCTTGCCAGCTGCCACCGTTAGGTTATTAACTGTTGCCGACGTCGACGTCGACGCCGTCGCATCGTCTGTGGTGTCCGCTGCCGTTACGCTGGAGCTCTCGTAGATGGCATTGCGTTTGGGCGACGTCGACAGCAGCGATAGTCCATTGAGCTTGGCGTCCAGCCCATTGCTGTTCGCCTCCAGCGCAGCCGCATGGCCATTGGTAATGCTCTTCGCAGCCACATCCTGTGCAGCATTGCGACGCGTTCGATTGCTGCGCAGCGTAAAAGTCGCCGTTGGCACATCGCCGCTGCTGTTGCTGCCGCTGAGCGTGTATCTGCCTGAGCCGCTGCGCTGCCGTAGATGTGATGTTTCGCTGGCCGATGTATCCGCGCCGCCGGCATCGCTGTTGCTGCTGTATAGGCGACTATAGCGGCTGCTGCTGCGCGGTGTGTCCAGTGTAACGGTGCAGGTGGCGCTGTTATCGTTGCTGCTGTTGTTGTTGTTGCTGTTGTTGCTGTTGCGGTTGTCAGTGTCGGCTTCATTGACCGCCGATCTGGAACGTGACAGTTCACAGTTGGGTTTATAGTTGGCCGGACTGTACTTTTCGTATATGTCCAGGGCAGATGTGGCAACAAAATGTGCTAGGGATGATGATGAGCATGAGCTGGACAAACGTTTTGAGCTGCTGCCGTTAGCTGTTGCATCGTTGCCATTGCTATCTGCACCGCTCGGTGGCAGCTTTTTGGCAGCATCTCGGCGTTGCTTCAAGCCCCAATCGTCTTTCTTAGTTGCTGTGCCTGTTGTTGTTGTTGTTGTGCCCGTCGAGCTTGTTGCTGCCCCGTCGCCATTCGATGTTGTGCCCTTTGCTCGACGCGGCAACTAAACGTTTTTTTTGTTTGCATGTTTGTTCGTGTCATGGTTGTTGTTGAAACATTTATACAGATGTTGTGACATGTTTGGTTGGTTGTGTGATATAACGGTAACGGTAACGGTAACGGTTAACGATCATATTTTTATGTGTTTCATATGATGGGCAGCAACACAAAACCAAAATTCAAATAATAACAAAAAAAAAAAAAAAAAAACGAAAGACAAATAAGATATATAATAAATTCCAAACAAAAAATGCAGTAAAAAGGAAAAAGTCGAAAGAAAATAGATAAACAATCGCATATCCAGTAGAAACAAATATTTGCATAAACCGCCCGCAACACGACTTAACACGCGCGCCTCCATTTGTAAAATTGGGACCATCAATTGATTTATGTTTATTTAACATTGCATGTAACTTAACATTGCTGTTTAGCTTAATTGCATTTCGCCAAAGTTGCCAGACATTGTCAACTTTGTAGAGAAGAATTTATCGTTGCAGCCACTATTGCCACTATTTATATAATTCGCGACAAGAGCAAAAGAAACGCAATTTATACGATTGATAAACTTTGTACATTTAGCCCAACTGTCAAGAACTTTGACAACACATTTTGTGTCGTGGTCAAACTTGCCTCTCAGGTTTTTTAGAATTAAGTCGCTTTTTCGATTATGGTTTAGAAAACGCCGCTAATATCAAAAATTAAATCAACATAGCATTTTGTATTCTAATCATAATCATGGTCGATAAGAAATTGTAAAAATGGTGTGTCCATGACGTTTCAACACGACATAACTCCGCTTGGAGATATGACGTTCCAAAACGACATAACTCCGCGCGGCGAAATGACGTTTCAACACGACATAGCTCCGCGCGGAGATATGACGTTCCAAAACAACATAACTCCGCTTGGAGATATGACGTTCCAAAACGACATAACTCCGCTTGGAGATATGACGTTCCAAAACGACATAACTCCGCTTGGAGATATGACGTTTCAAAACGACATAACTCCGCGCGGCGATATGACGTTTGAACACGACATAGCTCCGCGCGGAGATATGACGTTCCAAAACAACATAACTCCGCGCGGAGATATGACGTTCCAAAACAACATAACTCCGCGCGGAGATATGACGTTCCAAAACAACATAACTCCGCTTGGAGATATGACGTTCCAAAACGACATAACTCCGCGCGGCGATATGACGTTCCAAAACCATAAAAATCATTGTATTTTGTATTTTAGACAAATTTTTTGCGAAAAACGTATGACTCAATTTATAAAATATATTTTATTGCAATCATAAATTTTCATTTTTTTTCTTTTTTTTTTTGTATAAGGATTGCGAACTTCCAGAATTAAGAATAAGCTCTGAAACCAAAGCATTTTAATTCGTGGGCGACAAATACAAATGAATAACGAAGTCGAAAAATTGCGACGATGACTGGCACAAATTCGATATGTGCGTCAAATTAGCGGCGGGGACTTAGCGTCGATTTTTGGTACTTGGTATCGGAAAAGGAATCGGTCACTTTTAAATGCATTTATTTAACGATAACAACGATAAAACGTCAAGTTGTTATCGACATCGATAAGTCATGCGTTAAATTAGTTAATCAGTTGATGGAACGCCCTATATGTTTTTTTTTCTTTCGCAGATTTATGACAAATACATGCATAGTACATACGCATGCATATGTCATATATTTGATATAAATTAGTGTGCACATGTATTTATGCCTCACACAGACACACACACACACACACACTCGCGAACAATGAATGCATCGTCACATTAAACATACTGGGAATTTTGAATTTTTATTGCCGACCGATGCCAACAGCAAATAATTTCACATACATATGTATGTATGTGGATAGCACAAGGGCGAGCCACATTTGTTGTTGTTGTTGTTGTTGCAGTAGCTGGGGCTGTTGTTGCAGTTGGTGCTGCTGCTGTTGTTGTTGGTGCCATTGGAGCTGTGCCAACAAGTGGTTTGGCCTGGCGAAAACATTCCATTGCCGTGGCGCGGCGGGTGGGTCTATGTTTGTGGTCATGACGCATTCGCCGCCTTATCGCAGCTTTCAACACACACGCACACACGTACGCACACTTACATATGTATGTGGGTACATACATATATGACCACTTAACAGCAAAAGAACAACAACAAGAGAACGAAAACAAATGACAAGTTTGCAATAACTGTAAATGTAACTTCAAAATGCCGCCAACTGTCAAACGAGTGTCAGAAAAAGAACGGTAAATACACAGTTAAAGCTCTATAGGGTGTATGTCTGGGGAATGGTTGGGGTATGGAAGGGGCGAGAATGCGTTTATGCAGAGCCAACATGGGCGTGCCTGGCTGGATATGACAAACAAACATATGCACATACACATGTAAATACATGTATGTACATATGCGAATGTGCGTGAAAAGGTGGGCGGGCAGTGGGTGGTTGTGGCTGTGGCTGTGTTTGGTCTCGGTTTTGCGACCAGGTAAGTGTATGTCATGGGCTACTTGTGACTTTTGGATAATGCACAACATGAAACGCGCAGTCAAAGCTGATTAAAAATAGTTTTATATACTAAAGACACACACACACACACGAGCGCACTTTGCATAGATACACGCACACACATACATACATATGTATTAAAGCACACGCACAGCTACCAAGGCAGATATCAAACACATACATATATACATGTATAGTATATGACTGTTCCGTATTGCTGTAATTAAAAACCTCACGAAAATAAATTGTAACTTTTACTTTTCTTACGAAAAACTGTAAATTATTTACAATATTTGTAATACCCTTATATGCATTAAAAGGTTGGGCCTATAAAATCTATATTTATATTTTTGATGAACACCAAAAATCGAGTATGTCTTTTCGTTCTTATGATGGTTTGTTGATTTCTTGTATACCTTATGTATAAAAATATCGAAATTTATGTAAACGTCATCTTTGTGTCCTGAAAAGTTTATTCGGACAATAAACACAAAAGTTATTCAAAAAAACCGATTCCCATGAAAAAGAAGAAGAATTGAAGGTATGTTTAACGTGACGTGTACCCTATAGGGATTTACGCTTGACAACAATGGAATGCAAGTTGGGCGGATATGACATTCCCCCTTGCTCAAAGGGTGTGGCCCAACTTATAGCTCGGCTGGTCTATTTTTTGTCAGAGAGACTCCAAACTAGATAACTCATATATATATATACATTATCCTTAGCATTGTAAATTGCGTCAGATAATAAAAATATGATGTTGTTGGATTTGAAAAGAAAGCATTTTTGGAACAGTCCTTATATATATTTGAGAAATATGTATACATGTGTGCATGTGTAGCTAGCATATGCTAGCTAAGCTATATAAGCTATATGTGTACGGTACATACAATTATACAATTACGACAGACACGAATCCTTAACTATTGTAATAGAGTACTCTAGTTGACACACAGAACTCACCAAATGATTCGAGTATGTGTACAGATGTGCGATTGTGCGTATGGATATTTTGTGTTTCAAAGCCCAAATAGTCTCGAGAGTTCGAGAGTGAAGCCTTTTAGTTTTCTATTTTTTTTTTTTTTAAGGTGATAGGGGATCTACACTAATATACATATTGTCCAGCATAATACATGATAATACAGACAGAATACTATATAGAGCTCTGTTCTGCCACCAATTGAACATCACATATGTATGTATAAGTATGTATGCATGTACATCAAAAATTAATCAAAGGTGGAAGTAAAAGGGGTTCGGTTTCGGGGTAAAAGGTGTGTGTGGCTAAAGCGATAATTAAAATTAGAGTAAACACTCACTCCGCATCGGCCGTACGAAACTGAATCATAATTGGAGCCGCTCAAATACGATGCACTATTTCGATATCCAGAATTGAGTGCAGATCCGGAACCGCCGCTCAGATACGATGCAGATCCGATGCTATTCCGCTGTGTATTGACGCGCGGCGTATACGAATACGCTGAATAGGAGCTGGGATAGTAGCTGCTTGCGCTGCTGCTGTGATGATTGTAGGCGGATGTGGACGATGTGCCGGCTGTGGAGCTGCCCGTGCCAGCTGATGAGGGCAGCAATTTCGATAGGCTGCTGCCGCGATTATCGTAGTAGCTGCTCGAGTAGCGCGAGTAGCCGTTGCTTGTGCCGCCGGCGCCGATGCCGCTGGTGGTGGTGCTGCCGCTGCTGCTGCTGCCGGAGCTGGTCGAGCTGCCAGCGCCGTTGGTCGACGTTGTGCCGTAGAGACTGCCACTGCCCGCTGCTGACGTTGAGGATCTACGCGGCGAAATCACACGCATATTAGTGGCAACAGCGTTCTACCGCTTCAATCGGACCAGTTTGCCGTTTTGCTGTGTTTGCCGCCTTTCTGAATTGACTTGTTATTGTTGTTGCCGCTGCCACTGCCGCTGCCGCTGCTGACGTTACTGATTTGGCAGAGCGTCCTGTTCCTCGCCCTACGCTCCTGTTTTTTTTTTTTTTTTTTTTTTTTTTTTTAGTATTATTATTTTTGTAATTGTTGCTCTGGTTTTATTGCTGCAAGAGAGTGAGAGTGAAAGTAGATGCGTGAGTAGCTTTCAAAACGGCAGCGCGCGAGTTGCACTCACTCACCTTGGCTTGCAGTTGCTCTTTCCGTTTTCTTATTTGCTTTATTTTGTATTTTTGCAGATTATTTACATAGTTTTTGCTTTTCTATTTTATTTAGTTAGTGTTGTTGCTTATGCTACATTAAAGACCCGTTATTGTTGCAGTGGAGAAGAGGCAAACTGTAATTAAAGGAGAATTTGTCATAAGTGACCTTCGTCAAGCTGCATATAAATAAACATATATAGGGGCTGACTAACAGTTACAGTTGATTACTAATTTCATAAATTTATCACAAACTTAACAGCGCCGCCAACGTCGCCCACTTCGTCGTGTCACACTTGTTTACAAAATGACAAAACAACAAAAATCACAATATTTCAAGTTTCACGACGCTGCAACTTGTCACAACAACAACAACTCAATGCAACTGCCGGTCTGTGTGTGTGAGTGGGGTAGCTGGGTAGCTATGCGGTAATAGTGAAGTTGCGTATGTTTGCATTCATGCGTGTGCCTGTGTGTGTGTATAAGACGCCGCCAGGCTGTCTACGGCCCTATACGGCGCGCAATGTCATTGTAACCGAGGAAACCGTTGCTCGTGTTTCACAGTGTGCGTGCGTTCGTGCATGTGTATAATGATAGGGCGCCACAACCTCACACACACACACATACACGTAAACAAACGGACGGACACATGGCCACTATCATATCGATCTCTCGTTCATAAATACAACTACAGTTATAACTACAACTATAAACATCACTACAGCAAGTTTTTTAGATTCACACATTCCAATGCGCCTATGTGAAGCAGCGATGCCGAAAATCACGTCAAAAATCGAAATTATTATAATTAAAGCAACAAAAAAAAAAGAAAAACGGCGAATCTATTTATAAAAGCGCTTAAAAGTACACACACACACACACAACTGGCTGGCGCTGGCGGTCGCCACGTTCCCGTTGGTTGGATGATACGGCGGTGGCGGCAGTAGTAAAACTGCGCTGCTGTGCCTGGCCTATGGCGCCATATGCGCAAATGAGATAGCAATATTGATATTGGCGACAGCGACACACTGAGACACACACACACCGAAAGGCAACGAACACAAACATATACATACGTATGTATGAATGTACATATACGCGGCCAAGCAAGCAACGTACGAATTACGCAAAGTGAAATATCTTTCTCAAAAATGGAAAGTGGAAAAGTGACGACTATGACTGTAAATTTCGCTTTAGAACGCGAACACTTTAATATAGATATTTGAAGAGGGGAATTCAGCGCCTTGCTAAGCAGTATATTTATTTATAAAATTCATCATTCACACACAACCCACTCACGACGCTAGAAAAAAATCCAAAAACGTCTTATTGCTTCAACGCTTGGTACGCACACCAAAAAAAAAAAAAACAATTTAATTGCACTAACTGAGCTTCTTTACATGGTAATAACTTATATTATTGGCTTTTATATGCAATTTTCAGCCCACAGCACGCAGAACTCACTTAGGAGCGAGTCAGTTTTGCAAACGAACTACCGAAATGTAGGGTTGCATCGATACGAGTATCGATAAATTTATTTATTGTATGGTTTTCTTATCGCACAAATCAAATCATAACCTATCGACTACAGTGGTCATCGCCAACCACAGAAAAAGTGGCAACACCGCCGTGTATATACATTTTGAGAGAAAATTTTGTTCAGGTGTGAAAAATCTATGCAGTTTATTCTCGTTTATAAATAAATAAAATTTAAATGCAAATAGTAACTAGACTTAATTATTACATGGTTTTGCTATTGTCATTGCTCGTGCTGTGCGTTATGCCGTATTTACCGAATTATGAACAGTACCCTGCAGCCGCAAATTGTCGCGTCGCATTACATTTAGTGTTGCCAACTTTTGCATTTGCAAAAAAAAAGCTATCTCGTCAAATTCGCACTACTGTGCATTAAACTTCACATATTTTTTTTTGTGCAAACACACATTAGATGGCTACACAGTGTATTTATGAAAAACTCAATTTCCAAATTGATAAGCCAAAATCTTTCAGCAGGACTGCGCATCACCGTCGTACCAATTAGCTTACAAGCATTTTAAGGACCCTGGACATTAAATAGCTAAATCTAACCGGAAAAGGCTGAGTGGGCAACACTTTAGCCTGCGCCGCCGCCAACGTCGTCACACAAAATGAAGTGAGCTACAACACAACAAAGAAAATAAACTAAACTGAATATTGAGAAAACTTCAAAAACAATTAATACAATAACATTTTTATCTATCGGTTTCTATTTCCCGTGTACAGTAAACCAAAAGGCACAGCAGTTTTTTGTTAATTTTCTGAAATTTCAATTTGTCTCGTCGTTATCATCATCCGCATTGCCATCGTAATTTTTAGCAGGTCTCTCTTATTACCACCCATCGCCCGCCCGCCCAGCTAGCTTTGTGGGAAACCTTGTATTAAAGTTCGTTTACTGGAACATTTTCACTAGCCCCCAGGAGCTTCGTCTTCGCTTTTTACTACGCTTCAGTTCTCCAACGAGACGCCCACACAAATATTTAGGTAAGTGCTTCCTCTTATCAGTTGTGGCTGCATTTTCATTGTAATTGATATGATCTGTCTTGCAGTTATGTCATCGACCGCCGGCAAACGCAAGGAAATATACAAATACCTGGCGCCATGGCCATTGTACTCTATGAACTGGAGTGTGCGCCCAGACAAACGTTTTCGCCTTGCCCTGGGCAGCTTCATCGAGGAGTACAACAACAAAGTGCAAATCATTAGCCTGGACGAGGATACCAGCGAATTTAGTGCTAAAAGGTGAGATGAGTGCAGAGAGTAAGCATCTGCCGAGCCTTAAATACGCATTGGAAAACCTATGCACGTATGCATGCTTTCTCATTGCTTGATTTGTAATTCTCAACAAGTTAATGCTGCCAAAGGTGGACAGGACCATTGCAATCCTAGAGTCCGTTGTTATCCGAAATTACACGGACAACCCGATCATTTATGGTGCTTGTACCTTGGTCCGTCAGCTTAACATTAGTTTGTCTACTTAAAAGGTCTAACTTAAACCAATCATATGGCAATAATACGATATACTATGTCGATCTTAGTCGCACAGCAGTGTTTATCATATAACTCGATCCATGGGAGCTAATTAATTAATAGCTTTCAGTTCAAATATTTTCGTTTATTTACACAAAAACTCAATTGGCAGTCGATAGTATGGCAGGTATAAATTCGAGTGGTCCGATACGAGACTAGTTTGCATGGAAACAGACAGCAGGACAAGAATAAACCCTGCATAATATCGGGGGTATTATAATTTTGTGACGCAATGTATTAAGTTTATGCGTGAACATTTTTGGTTTTGATGATATCTTGTGCAAACTTGGCATTTGCCAGCTTCCGACTATCATATCATATACTTTTTAGAAAGAATAAGTGGGATACTTCTGTTTTTGAAGACATCTTGAACTGTTTCATATTGGACTACTGACTATATTTTTGTCTTTTATGGGAATAATCTTTCTGGAATTATTCGTTGCTTAATTACTTAATGTTCTGTTTTGTTCTCGTTCACTTGCAGCACCTTTGACCATCCATATCCTACAACAAAAATCATGTGGATACCAGACTCGAAAGGCATCTATCCCGATCTGTTGGCCACCAGCGGTGATTATTTGCGCGTTTGGCGCGCTGGTGAACCGGATACCCATCTGGAGTGCGTGCTAAATAATAACAAAAACAGTGATTTTTGTGCGCCGCTAACATCGTTCGACTGGAACGAGGTGGATCCCAATTTAGTTGGCACATCATCCATTGACACCACCTGCACAATATGGGGCCTAGAGACTGGGCAGCCGCACGCGCGCGTCTATGTGGCTGGGCATGTTAAGACACAGCTAATAGCACATGACAAGGAGGTCTATGACATTGCATTTTCACGTGCCGGCGGCGGCCGCGACATGTTTGCCTCAGTTGGCGCTGATGGCTCCGTGCGCATGTTTGATTTGCGTCATCTGGAGCATTCGACCATTATCTATGAGGTGGATGCCAATAGCTTTGATATATATATATGTATATATATATTGTTTATTTATTGATTTATTTGTCTTGATTAGGATCCTGCGCATACTGCGCTGTTGCGCTTGGCCTGGAACAAACAGGATCCGAATTACTTAGCCACTGTTGCCATGGATTCATGTGAAGTTATTATTTTAGATGTTCGTGTTCCTTGTACACCTGTTGCAAGACTGAGCAATCACAGAGCGTGCGTCAACGGTATTGCGTGGGCGCCGCATAGGTAACCAATATCCAAATCAAAAATATCTAACCACATATCTAACAAGTCTCGTTCGGTTTGCAGTTCCTGTCACATTTGCACTGCCGGTGATGATCACCAAGCACTGATCTGGGATATACAACAAATGCCACGCGCAATCGAGGATCCAATTTTAGCCTATACAGCTGCTGAAGGCGAAGTCAATCAAATACAATGGGGTGCCACGCAACCCGATTGGATAGCCATTTGCTATAACAAAGCGTGCGAGATCCTGCGGGTCTAAGAGTCAATTTTTCTTACCACCCAAGCAACCTGTCCCCCCTCCCGACCCACACTGCTCTGCCCTGTGGCTGTGATGTGAGGATGATGTGGCTGCAGAACGCACAGTTGTCAACACACCCAATAACAGCAGCAGCAGAAGCGACACCAACCAACACACAGATACGCATACTCAAACACACACACACACACACAGAGACAGACACACACACACACACATGCGGATACAGAACACAATGTAGTTGTAGGTTTTGTAGGCGCAGCCGCGGAAGAAACGCGTTTTAATTACATAATATACACACATATATAGTTTTGTATTCGGACGTCGATTTATATCCCACAATCCCGCATCCGCATCTGCAACCCAACTTGGTGTATTGGTCGCCAGTGTCTGTGGCTCAGTCGAAGTTAAAAGTGAGACGCGTAGGCGGAGCAGCCGGGCAATTCTATTAGAGTTTAGTTTTTTAATGCTCTCTGTGGCCGGGCCAGGCACATTTAGCATCCCCCTAGCTTAGTTGAACATAATGTTATGATATATAAGTCTCAAGGTATAACCAAAATATGTATTGCTATTTGTAATTTATTTGACTCGTTTCGCACGTTATGCTGAAGAGTACCGGACGCTTAGTTTTATGAATTGACATGTCTGGCTTATTGACATTCTGTTTTTAAGATCGCAAAAAAAAAAAAAACATTTACACATAAAAACAAAAAACAAGATGAACAAATGAAAAACAATGTCCTACCTCGTTTTCCAACATGTTAAATGTTGTTAATATTTGTGTCTAACCGCAGTAAGAACAACAACAACAACAACAACAACAAACCAAACAAACAAACAACTACACGCAAAAACAAAAAACAGACGAACAACAAATGAGAGAAAACCCAAATGAAAAATGTATCCAAAAAGACGCTAAAGGCTTCTTTTTGCTTTTGTTTTTTTTTTTTTTTTTAACTATTTTTTGGACATTTTTTATTATTTTTTTGTTCAAATGTTTTTTGTTTTTTTTTACACGTTTTCTATTAGAACCAAACAACAAAAGGACTTAAGCAAAACGAAAACGCAAACGCAAAGCAAACATAAATAAGCGAAAAAAAATAATACTTGTATTTAGAAAACAGAAATGAATTAAAAAGAAAACCAAAAAAAAAAAAAATACGAAAAAAACAACTGCACAACCACAGCTAAATACAATACTTACTATTTAAAATACAACTAAAAGAAAAACCGAAATATTATATTGAGCGAGAGAGAATACAAGATTGTTGCTATCCATTTAAAAAAAAAAACACAAAATGAACATATAAAATAATGACTGCATTCAATTAACATTAGCTTCATAAAATACAGTCAGGCCGAATGATCGAATAGATCCTTACTCCCGCACTGAAAGCAAAAAAAGCAGAAAACAACAAGAAGAAACAAGAACAATATACTAATCCACAACAAAATATAAATACATTTTCTATGGTCGAAACTATAGTGCGCCGCTCTGAGACTGAAATAAATGAGAATCCTTTTAGACGATATGCCTTTTCGTTGGCTCAGAGTTATCTGTTCAAACTCCAAATGCTAATATACATACATATATACAAATACAACTGATGCTGCTTTTGATTATGCGTGTAAATACAGAGAAGCGTAACGCTCTTTACTTTATTTTGTTTCATTGTTTTATCCAATAACAATCAGAATCTGTAAACACTCGACAAGACTTTTGCGCAATTTCAATTGAATATGAATAAACCGGTAAATCCTTTTTACAGTGTGTACACATGTACGCACACATGCATGCATTGCATATGTAGATACACGCGGCATGCATACATTGATATATACATATACACATGTACGTTAATAACTGCGTAGCGTGAGTAAGCATTTTTTGGCAAACGGTTTCTGTAATTTTTAGCATTCATTATCCGGTTGGATCAAGATATTCTTTATACTTACACACACACACACACACACACACACAATGTAAAACAATAATTTAAATTATTTGTATGCGTTTGCATTTTTTAAATTCACACACAGACATACATCATGAATTGTAACTACATATACAAATATAAGCACACATATATATATATATGTATGTGTGTATATATATAGGACATCTGGTACCATGCTGGGTCAGCGCGGAGTTTTGAAACTAGGAGGCAGCAGGAATGTGAGGGGCGCAGCAACGAAAGCGAAAATCCCAAGAGAAAAAACAAAAAGAAAACAAAAAATATTTAAATAAACAATTTTTAAATAAACCTTTGTTGTCACGCCATTTAAATCAAATCGGGCAAATCAGGCGGCGGGCATATATTGCCAATATCGACTGTTCCACATGGCTCCTTTAAACCAGATGCACTGCCGCTGAAAGATATGGGATTAAGCTCGGTTCACCAGATCCAACTAATAACTAGGCTGGCCTACCTCTTCGTCGGGGCATGCGTGGACTTCTTCAGGACGAGCAGCTCATTGGCCTTGAGCTTCTTGAGAATGATCTGGAGATGGCCGCTGATTTGGGAACGCTGCACAACAGACTCGTCCGGCTTGACCTCCTCGTTGTAGGCCATTTGAAAGACTTTGCCCTTGACCGTGACGCGCACGTAGTTCGTCTGTATGTCCACGTCGATAAGGGACGTGTCCAGATGCCTGGTTATGGCCGGAATGGAAAATGCATTTGGACTGAGTCTCAGCAATGTGTCAGGTGGTGTGGGACTACGTACTTGTATACCTCCAATAACAGACTGTAGTGGCCAGCCTCATCCTGGAAATTAAATGGCAGCTTAGCCTGATTGATGTTGTAGGGCCGGCCGCAGGGCGCGAAGAGATTAGGGCTTCTCTTTTGCTTTTGCGTCAATGGGTCTGGCTGCGACTCGTGCTTCTCTCTGCCGAGCTTGTGCTGGCGCGCAATCTCGGTGCGTATTTCCGGGCAATGCTCACTTTTGGCATTCCAGAAGGCGCGTGTACGCTCATCCTCGTCCTCGATGGCGGCGCACTCTTTGGCCAGCTGTGCCTGCTGCTCGGCCACGCGAATACGCTGTTCATCCCGTTCGATGGCCTGTGCCGCCTGGCACTGCACAATAACAGCTCGATGCTGTGGCAGAAGGCGCTGCGCCTGCAGACGTTCCGAGGGTAATATATCCTTGCAGTCCAGGCTCTGCAATTGCAGCAGCGTACCCACGACAAAGTCACGATAGTGCGGATAATCGACACAAGGATTGCCAATAAGGACCAGCTCCCGCAAATTGTAATTGCCAATCAGAGACTCGACGCTGGTCAGCTCGCCGACAAAGTTGAGCGTTAGATCGAGCTTATTGAGCGACTCAAGACTCTCCAAGTTCTCAATGCGCTCAATGTTGTTCACGGCCACATTGAGATACTCGAGACGCTTCAGCTTGTGCAGATTCTCCAGGCGCGCTATGAGATTGGACTGCAGCAGCAGAATCTTGAGATCGCGACACCAGTTCTGTATATGCTCGATGCGCTCGATATCTTCCTGGTGCAGCGACAGCTCCTCGAGCGTGCCTATCAGCCGCTCATTATGCTCCGACTTTTTGCGCACCAGCTCCTCGGTGACTGCGATAATATCATTAGAGAAGCAAGCATGCAAATACTTTGTCTTCAACTTACTGCGCACCATAATTCGAGAATATAAATATTTATGTTGTGTCTATGTCAAGAACTGGCTTCAGCTTCAGCTCAAATAGCACTTAAAACAGTAAACAAATAAGGCGACTGCGTTGCTAGGTTCAGCTTCTTCTGCTTCTTCTTGTTGCTGTTGTTAGTGTTGTTGTTGTTGACACCCGATTACAATTTAAATTTTGTGTCATCGGCGGGCGAGCGATTGAACTTATCGAACTTATTAACATATCGATTTGCATGACGGCAACGTCATCGGCGCCCGCCGCTTTGTATTTTTTTTTTTTTTAATTTTTTGATTTATGGAAATCTAATCAGTTGAATTAGTTAAAATCGCGTATTAGGTGCTCAATTGCAGGGCCGGAACGCGGTATGGATGTAAATAATTATTTTTGTAGTTTTCCATCACAGAAGACAGTCGACAATTTCATATATTCAATATAACATGAATAAATAAAGAGCCAATAACATGAACGGTTATTTTTTGTAAAAACGGTAACTTCGACCATTTTGTTTAGCAGTTTCTTATACGTGCACATGTGTTTTTTTTGTCTGTTTATTAACACTTAAAAAATTAAAATTTATCAAATGGTGCAATTCTTATTTGTGTAATAATGTACAATATAAATGGAAATGCATAATTCAATATGTAGAATATATGTATGTTTCTTTGTGCTTTTTCTAGTTAGCTTCTGGCCCTCATCAAATCCGCACCTGTGCGCCATGGCTTCAGGTGTGCTCGGCTCATTGAACTCCGCTAGCACTGGTGGCAGCCAGACAAACTTGGACACTGTAAGCGTAATCAGCTTTTGGGATCGAAATGGGCGATAAGGATGTCGATATTTTGCGACCACTCAGCGATGACGAAGTGGATGAGCTGATGCAGTTGTATGGCGAGAAATATGGACCACTCAATTTCCACTATCTCTTGCTGTACAATCAGCGCAAATGGGATCGCCAGCTGGACGCGGCGGGCATTTCCCGGACAGATGAGGCTAACCTATCGCTGCGCAAGCGCTTCTATACGCATCGAACTGGCGGCTTTCGACAATACGGCACATACGTGAGCCTGCACCGGGACGTGGTGCAGAGCGTGTCCTTTTACAGCTGGCAGCCCGTGGAGCCGGCGGAGCTGTTCACCTGCCTGGAGCAAACACAGCGCATTGAATGGTCAAACGGTGCGCTGCTGACCAACGTTGATCTGGAGCATTGCGCACGCGTCAAGGAGATTGCCAGCAGGAAGGGAGCGAGTGGCATACAGGCACGTGAGTGCTACGGCATGGTATTGCCACATGCCGAGGCGCGCACGGTGCACGTGCCCGATCTGCTGTCAGACTTTGAGCTGCGCCGGCTGTGCGATGAGGATGCGGCCATGGTTCATGCTGTTTGGCCCAATAAGGGCGAAGGATCGCTGGCATACATACGTGCTTTAATCAAGTACAATAGAACACTGGGCGCCTGTCGCAGCGACACTGGCGAGCTAATCGCCTGGATATTCCAAAACGATTTCTCCGGTCTTGGGTATGCCAAATGGAATATCATTGATCAAAGCCTATTATAAAATTCTACTCTTGCCAGCATGTTGCAGGTGCTGCCAAAGGCAGAACGGCGTGGCCTCGGCGGTCTCTTGGCCGCGGTCATGACCAAACTGATTGCCAAAGGGGAAGAGGTTACGCTCACCGCATGGATTGTCGCCAGCAACTGGCGCTCGGAGGCGCTGCTCACTCGCATTGGCTATAAGAAGGCCGTTGTGAACGAGTGGATCAAGCTGTTGCCTGCATAATATGCGGCCGGATCTGGGTAAAATAGCTGATTGGTTATAGTGAGGGAAGCCACGAAATATAGGACATATATGGAACTAAAATAGAAACGATTATACACTATACACGCTTTTATTTCTTTTTTATATATAATATAATAATGGAGACTTCTAACCAGATGTAGTTTTGTTAGAATGCATTCGAGTTCAATGGACGTCAGTCTCAGATAGCACGGATTGATTAAGGCTTTCCACGGGAGTTAGTGAATTGTTGTCAAAGTCTACATCTAAAAGAAAAATACAAACTGCAAAACGAAATGAAATATATCCAATCTCATTTAAAATACATTCAAGAATATATAAGCAATCAGAATACTTTACGTCCGCATATATGAACTATTCCGTTGCGCCATAGAGGGGTGACTGATAAAATGGATTAGGTTCATAATAAAAGTCCAAATGCTTTACATAATACATATAACGTAGTACGTAATTATATGTATATTGCCTATGTACACGGTCAACAATTTTTATTACGCATTGCGATGCGTTTCGATATTGTAAATACATACAGTTTTTAAGGCATAATCAAATTCGAATTGCAAAAACAAAATTAATTTTCTAGCGGCAATTGAGGCTAATCCCATCGCACCTGGGTTCGGTGTTGAATTTTATACTTATTTACATACCGCATTAGATGCATACATACATACATTTATCATACAATAATTTACAATATAATTAGGATAGGAGCTGATGGGAGCATAAAACAAAAAACATTGGAAACATACAAAAGCAAAAATGACATACAAGCAGAGAGCACAAAGACGAATGTTCGATTTGTTTAAATTGTTGTTTTGAATGCGAAATACTATTCAATTAAGAATGCCCGTAAATGGGGGACTCTGATAAGAAGTGTTATCAGAGACGATCGAGACGAAACGAAACCGGGTAAAACAATTTGTGTATGGGCCTGATGTTTCAATTTACAATTTCACTAATTATAAAAACTAAACGAATAGCAAGCGCGTGGTGCTCCCACTCGGCATACCGCTGCCATTAGCCAGCAAACTGTTGCCGCTGGCTGGCATTGTCATTGGCATTTGCATGGTTGTCGGTGCTTTCGTTGTCTGCATCTTGTGTAAACCATTTGCCATCACATTCCCGTTGATTGGGCTGCGATAATAGTTATCATTTAGCGGCGTATACTTAATGTGATTGCTTTGCGTGTGCGTTGGCAGCTCCCTGGCCTTTGAGATTTGCTTGGCCCGATTGTAACACAACACACCGATAATGGCCAGTGTCATGCCCAGACAGTTGACCCATGTAACCGGATTTCCCAATATCAGCAGCGAGACGGCAATCACAAATATGCGCTTCGAGGCGCTGGCCACCGCATACGTAAGCGGCGTTACCAGCGACAGCACGCTAAAGGCAATTATGTTTTGCATCCAATTAAGAACGCCATCGGTGAAGAGCAGCGCAATTACCCGGTAGTCAAGATTTTTCTGCAAGTCAAGCGAATACAGGCCATTAAAATTGTCTATATGTCTCTACATCTATAAAGAATCACTTACAATTGCTGAATGCCGGAAAACAGCTAGGCTGTCTACGTACAGCCAGAGGGGCAGGAAAATGAATAGGGATAGCTTGCCCAGCAGATGGAGCAGGCGCAAGTGATGTATGCCCGTATCCTTAAGCACCTGCATACAATTTTGATAGCATTAAGTGCGGCTCGGGGAACATTGTTAAATATATATGCAAGTTTACCTTCTTGGAGAAGATGTTTTGCAGGGAGAAACCCATCGTGGAAATGAGTGCGCTTATTAGGCCAAGCATGTCGAATGAGATTTCCGTAACGGTCGCAATCGCCACGCCAGTTATGATGGGCAACAGGCTCAGGTACACCAGTGTGGGCTGCTTCTCGCCAAAGAAAAGGCGTGTCAGAACCACAGTAAAAAGCGGCATGGTCGCTTTAACTAAATATGCAAGGAGTGATCCATATTTGATGACGTGTGTGCGCGTTATGTTTTATTTAAAAGCGCCCTTACCTGTGTGCGCGTAGGAGACGGGCACCTTCCACAGCGATATGTGCGATGTGACCGAGGCGAGCAGCTTGCCAATGGCCAGCGGCACAATTAGCCGCATGTAATAGGAGCGCGGTATATCCTGATATTTGCGTATGCGCCATAAGTTGAAGAAGGGCCCGCTGTATAGCGTGATGCTGCATAACTGGATGAGGGTGACGGTCATCGGGAATGGAAACTCGTTGAGCACCATTTTGCCAATGACATTGTTGCTGGACGAGATCACGTACCAGAAGAGGCACATCAACAGCACGACCGCAACATGACGGGAACTGGTGCGTTTGCCACCCAACATATTTGAACAGTTGCTGTTTTGTTAAGAAGTTGCCGTAGTCAGGTGTCAGCGCCACAGTGTCTCTACCTGTGCGCCTGCCAGTCAGCTGGTCCTTTTTATTGATCTTTGTTTATTGCATCTCGCTGTATGATTCGATTTTAAATAAATATATGCACGTCGACAATGTCGCCCGTTTGTTTTCTACGTGGACGCAACAGTGTGGCCAGACATTGCCGGATATACGGCAAGTGTTGTTAAATGCCGACACATTGGTCTATCGATAAATATTCAAAACATAATTTCCCAACTTTCAGTATTGAACATTAACTGAAATAGCAATTTCAGGAACCAATCAGTTCAATTATCATCATTATGATTATTAGTTTTTATATCGACAAGTGATTTCCTGTTTTTGGTGTACACATGAGAGTTTTTCTCAAAAATGAAATGCTTTTAAATATATATCTATATTAAGTCGATTATCAACTACAAATTCGATTTGGTTTGAGACCATTTAATGGTTTTTGGTTGGCACAACAGTGCAGGAATCTTTATGTTAGTGGCCCACTTCCTTAACTTCAGCGCGCTTGATGGCCAGAGCGTGACGCAGCTCCCGAAATAGCTTATCGGCCCAGGATGAGGAGCTAGGATTTGTTGCGCAGAGTTCCTTCAATGCCAGCAATACGTTTGTGTGCTGCTGCGTTAGGTCCGCCTGGTCGAAGCGGGGATCCAGCCAATAGACGCCCCGTGGCGCAGCCGGCATTGCCTGAACACCAACATCCCGGCTACGGTTGCTAAGTCGCGCGTCTGTTTGAGTCGATACACTCTTATACAGGCCCGTGGATAGGCACTCGTCTTCCGCTCCATTCTCTGCCTGCTGCGTGGATCTGAGCTTGTGCAGCGCCATCTTTGGATTCTCCTTTAGCTCCATCAAACGCGCCACATCGATGCCGGTGAGGCGCAACAATGCAGCTGTCGTCTCTGGCAAGCGTTCCAAGCCCCATTTGCTCAAATTGATGTTCGATGCGGACGTCGAATTGAACTTGTACGTAACATTAAAATTGTTACACAGCGGCGAGGGATTCATGAAGAGGTCACTGTTCATATATGATGCACGGCTGGGCAGCTTCCTGATGGTGTCAACCACAAGGAACACGGTCTCCGGTGCCTTTGACGCCTTTAAACGCATAAGATTAAGCACACTTTTCGCGCGCTCCACGGCCAGCCGGCGCTTCTCCCGAGTAGTCGGCGGCGGTCCAGCATCTGCTGCTGCTGCTGGTTGCATTAATTTGTTTATATTAACCACCTTGACGCTCTTTTCGTCGGCATGTACGGGCACAAAGTCGAGTTGCTCGGGTTCCGTTTTTATGACGGGCGCAGTACTGTGCCGCGATCCATTGGATCTGCCAGGCTCCACTGTGCGTCGTTCCTTGCGACTTTTTTGTGGACTGCCACTATGACTGCGACGTCGCTTTTTATGGCTCTCGTGCTTTTTCTCCTTTTTGTGTTTTTTTCTTTTTTTCTCGGCAGTTGAACGCTCCAAATGTTCCAGCTCCCTGCGCCGCTCCTCGATACGTAGCTGCAACTCTCTCTCTTCTTCGCTGACTGGAATACTTGGCTGTTGTGGCATCGGTGGTGGCTCCAGATCCATATCATTTAATTGATTCACTTGGCTATATGCACCTGTTACGCCTTCGAAGTCCGTCTCTGACAGGACATCGAGGAAACCCAATTGCAATTCACGGCGTTCCTCCTTCTTGACGGTCACATCGTGCGGAAGGCGCGGCTCCAGTGGATCTGTTAATAGATCATCAAAATAGTTGTCCGGCACATCCGGAAAGCTGCCATTCGTTTGAGATTCTCGTTGAGGCTCTGTGGGCTGGGCTCGGTCTGTGGCTGACACTCTTAATGGGGTTTGGTCATATTCATTGGTCGGACTTAGCTTTATGCTCATTTCCTGATCAAGTGACGGTGGTGACGGCGCAGGCGGCATCGCCATCTGATCCTCATCATCGCTTCCCCAACCTGCTGCTGAAGTTTCGGTGACTGCGGCTTGGTCCGGCGAGGGGCCGCCTTCGTCACGCAGCGGAGTGCACTCATTCTCATCGTCTTTGGGTAGCGATTTCTCGCATTTCACATCCGTGTAAGCGGCTTCTATTTCGTTTTTAACACGAATTGCATCTTCCATATTATTGGCAACCCAAATAAAAGATGCAATATTCAGTGTGATCGTATCAAGTCAACAAAAATATACCAAGAAATTTGATTTTGTTTCTCAGCTCTACAGATAGCTGACAAAGTCGAAATCAATATAAATTGTTTAATTATTTTTCAAACAGTTATACAGAGCATATACATATATATATATATATATATTATCTTGGTTTACAAAGCATTGTACTTTATATTTAGTAATTTTTCATTAAGCCAACTATTGGGTATTTTTTGCCCATTTTGGTATTTTCATTGAAGCACTTCACAACGATAAGAAAATCATCGAGTTGCCATTGTGCTGCCAATGAAAAATCGATAAATGACAACTATTGAATTTTTTATTGCAAAGCGATCGTAGGCCGTCAACAGTCGTCTGCTGAAGTGTGAATTTATAAATACAAATTAAATAAAATGAATCGGGCTCGCAGGAACGTTGTCAACAAACCGTTTGTTTCGGGAGGCGTTTATGTAAGTTGCAATATTTTAAATTTGTTTAATACATACACACTAACACACATTAATACATATGAATGTATGGAAATGTATTTTATGATTGCATTACTCATTTAACTTCTATTCAATACTGTCATTCCGCAAATATGTATGTTTTTCTGTAATTTTGCAAATATAAAGCGCAAAAGTATGAATATACATCAATGAAATATATATACATATATATATATATATATATATATGAGCGAAGTATAGATACATATGTATGTATACATACGTGTAAATATGAATGTATGTGTATCATTCATCAAGCTGAGATGATGTTCTCATTTTGCACTCTTGCATATGTATGCTTCTGGTATACACACACACACACACACACACACAGAAACACACATGCATATGAAGCTGTAGTTTTAATCGATACTGGTATACATACATACATGCATATGCACAGTTATAAAATTACTCACCCGCATAGACAAATGTGTGTGTATGTATATACATACATACATAAACGCACATATGTGCAATGTATCTATGCATATACATTCATTAGTTTTAGTTCTTTGTTTATATGTATTTTGTTTTCTTATCATTAAAACAACAATTTCTGCAATAATAGTAATTCTATTTTTATTTATATAATTTACAGCGCACAAATTGAAAATGTGTGTCTCAAACCAATTGTGAATTTATTTGCAACAGCCAATAAAAGTTTCTTTAATCGCAAGTTTCAAGCGTTGTGTCCAGCCACCTGATACTCCAACTATTTTTACCCACACACACACACACACACACACACACACACACACACACAGACATACACACTGGGAGCCTTGGACCATTTATTTGAACCGCTGGACTTGCCATTTTAGTTACTTTTGGGGGCTGCTGGAAATTAATTCATCCAAAATTGTAACTAAAATTATTAGTTTTGCGTTAGATAGCAATGCTCATTTACCTTCACTTGAGTACCCAAACGAGACACCAAAACGCCAATTCGAGATGATCAAAGGTTTGGGCGGGCATTTACCGCAATTTCAGCCTGGCGAGCAGCCCGATGAACACCAACTGCTGCACCGGGCTGCGGGCATTGGTGGTCATTTGGGCGGGATGCCAAGTTGCCAAGCATTTGGTTAATGTGATATGATTAACGTAAACCATCGATTGGTTGGCTCATGGTTTCGTTGGTGCAGTGCGTCTGCATGATTCGTTTGGGCACTTTGGGTTGTAGGAGTGGTCATGGCTATTCCTGAACTATGGTTTTTAGTAGATCCGCCGGCACACGTGCTGCGATATAAAGCCTACCGCCCACGCCGTTAGTAGATCCTTTGAATGGCATGTAAGACATTTCCAAGATTGGTATATGCAAAGGGGCTAAACAATTGTTGTTGTTGTGGTTGCCTTTGCCCTTATAGCTTAAGCCAGGAGCGTGCGACTCAAATAACCGTAAACATTTTAATTCTTATAAATTACAATTTATCAATTGTTTTCTTTTTTTTTTTTTTTTTAAATAATTAACTGCCTTTTTTTTAAGTTAATTCAAAATATATTAAATCAAATTAAAATTGAAAAAAAAAAAACTAATTAAGCAAATAACTCGATTTATAAAAACTCTTTTTGCTAATCAATTCGTAACAAAATATATAATTGAAAAAAAAAAAAAAAAAAAACAGAGAAACCCTTTATCAAGAAATTAAAATATAAGATTAATTTAATTTCCTTTGGTTTCCTTGTTAATTTAATAATGAAGAAAGTTTCCAATTAGCACGAAAAATTGAAAATCAAATGAAAAAATGTCAAATAAAAGTTGGGGCATATTTCGTTAGTTGATCGGTTAAGAGAATAATTTTCAATACATGCCAAACACTAGCGTCCGGATTTTGCAAATAATTTTTTTTCTTTTGTTGAAAAAAAAAACAAAAAAACAAAAAAAAAAATATATTTGCTGTGCATGCCAGATATACGTGCGCTAATAATACCCGACTTTCCCCATCTAGAATCCGAATGCCGCTTCCACGATTCCTCAAGCTGCGCCGTTCGTAGCAACACCGCCGGCACCGCAACCGGCCAAGCCACAGCCGGTCAAGCTGCAGACGGTCAAGCCGCAGCCGGTGGAAAATCATGAAGCGCTGCCCATGCCGATTTTCATCAAGGATGAACCGATTACGCCCGCTGGCGATGACATGGAGGAAACCGACACTGGCACCAATAATGGCAGCATGGACTTTGCCAGCGTCTTGGATTCGGAAAATGGTGGAAAAATACCATTTAAGAAGATCTTTCAGAAGCGCAAGAAGTCATCGGGTACGTAAATTCATAAAATTTGAAGAAAAAAAAAGAAAAGAAAAACCAGCTTGAAACGATTAAATATATCGATCTGTAGACTATCGAATCGATCATCAGAGGACTTCGTTTATCTGGTAAACCTCAACTTTTGAAGTTGAAATACAAGACATTTCTAACGTGACTCACTTTTATGTTAATAATAGAATCTAATATGATATTGACAAAATGTATTGTTTGTTTAGAACGCACACGTGACAAGAAATTGCGCCAGAATCGGCAGCTACGCAAATCAATGTTGCCGAAGAACGCTCTGATGGCCCTCAACGAGGTGAAGGGCATTAACATCAGTGATTTTACGATTAATAGCAATCCGGATGGCGGCTTTACAGCTATTGTGACCGTAAATACCAGGCAGTACGAGGGCAAGGGGCAGTCGAAGATGGCCGCCAAGAATTTGGCCTGTGAGAAGGCTTTGCGCGATTACATCATAGCCAAAATGACGCCAAAGCCGAAGAAAGCGCCAAAGCCAGCTAACGATAGCGAGTCCGAGGCGATGGAGACGAACGATACAGAGAATACAGAAAATCCGCCGGAGGATGATGTGCCCATGCTGAACTTGGCCTCGTTTGCCATTTACAAGCTGTTTGCCGAATGGGAGCGAGAGGGTTATGTTGTCCCCGAAATGCATCCATCAGCTGCAAATGCATCTGCACAGCAAGGTGATCCCAATTCGCCAGCTTCGTCTGTTATTGTCACACCAAAGGAGCCAAAGAAGCCGCCCGTACGCACCGAGCTGCCGGTCAACTGGGCTACCATGCATCCAGCCACATTGTTGTGCGTCGTAAGTGTGCCAGAGTTCAATTCATATGGCCAAGTGATATTTTACTATTTGAATTTGTTTGACAGATGCGTCCAGGACTTTCGTATATTGACCATGGCTGCACCGGAGAGAAGCCGAATGTTTTGCAGCGTTTGGGCGTCATTGTGGACAATCAGGAGTTCACCGCCACTGGACGTTCCAAAAAGATAGCACGTCGCAATGTGGCTGTCAATGTTTGCAACAGTTTGTTTAACACCAATTTCATATATGAGGAGTATTAGACGGGCCGCAATCTCAGCTGAATCTATGAAAATCCAACAATTTATCTCGACTTTTTAATTTTTTAAATGTGCTTCTACAACTTGACACCTACATAAACCTACCACACTCCGGGACTACAGTAAATTCGTGACCATAAATATGTACGTAGTTGAGTAATTATTGCGCACTTTGTAGAGGCTATTTGAATGTTGTCAAGCGATATGTTGTGTAAAGCTTAGGATATATCTTCGACCCCTTAAAGTATATATACTCTTGACCGAGTCGATATAGCCATGTCTGTCCCTTCTGTTTCGAGGCAAACTAGTCTAGAGCATATATGTCTGAGTCGGTCGAATTATGTTATCATTTAGCTGACGTAAGATCAGGTTTAAAATAAAAAATTACAAATTTTTTGTTTATCAAGATTACTTGGACAAATTTGAGATTTATTAGCTTCAATATGTTCCTAACATTTTAGCAGAATCTTATGAACAAGATACTATTTTATATCGCTGAGTTCTGTAGGAATAATCGGTCGTTTATAAAGGTCCTTCCATGTGAAAATATGTCTACAAGGATATTAAAACTTAAGCGTGCCAAGGCCGTTTCTTTTTAATAAATGTTTTCTTTAATTTATTCAATAGAAATAAAATTTCAAAATCCTCATGGAGCCTATGTAATTGATTTCGTCAACAGACGTGCGGTTGGCGTCTCCAGTGTTGGGAATCAATTTATCAAGATAAGCTGAAAAGTTACTTTCCGTGGAATTAAGCACAGCTGTTTGATTGTAAATATTTTACGGCGGGGCAAATTTCCTTAACTGTGTATTTACTAATTCATTTATAACTGACAATTGAAATTCAGCGCCAAAAGAGATTAAAGTAGAGCCATATTTGAGTGCGTGTAATAATTGTCGGACAAATCTTAGCAGAAGGTATCGTAAAATCGATAGTTGAACAATATGGTAATAAGTATCGTATAGACGACTCGACGCAGTTACTACATACATTATTAAACAGTCTGGCAACATTAAGCACAACAGCTGATGTATTGTTAGGACACAAGTGAAAACAAATATATATATTAATTGCTGCGCAATGTCGAAATTAATTTCATACGCTGCTAAAAATACTTTGCGTAATACGCGCCTTGGTGCAAATCCAATGTATGTACTCTTTTGATTTGTCTAATTATTGAAATAATTTTGCAATTTGAATGTTAGCTGTCAGCATGCAACCAGAGATTACATGCACCTGGCTGCTGCGTCCGCGGCACGTAACACATATTCAACTCCGACTGTCGGCATTACCAAACAGCCGGTGCTCCGGCAGGCAGTGAACACAGTTCCGGTGATGGGACAGATTTCACGGCGCAGCATGTTTATTCAGACACAGGACACACCGAATCCGGAGAGCCTAAAGTTTTTGCCCGGCGTTGATGTGCTGGGCAAGGGAAATACATATGACTTTCCTAGTGGCTCGGCGGCTCATTGTAGTCCATTGGGTGAGGCGTGTTCTATGTGATCACTTTATACAATTATATAACTCGCTCATTTGCAGCCAAGCTACTGTTTCGTGTGGAAGGCGTACGTGCTGTATTCTTTGGTGGAGATTTCATAACTATATCCAAGGAGGAAAGTGGAGAATGGGGACTCATAAAACCGGAAGTTTTTGCTGTCATTATGGATTTCTTTGCCAGCGGCTTGCCAGTTATACACGAGGCGCGTCCCAATGCAGATACAGAAATTTTAGAGGATGATGATGAGACGGTTATGATGATTAAAGAGCTCCTGGATACGCGCATACGACCGACCGTGCAGGAGGATGGCGGCGATATTGTTTTTATGGGCTATGAGAATGGCATTGTCAAATTGAAAATGCAGGGCTCGTGCTCATCATGCCCCAGCTCCATTGTCACATTGAAGAATGGTGTACAGAATATGCTACAGTTCTATATACCAGAAGTGGAATCCGTCGAACAGGTGTTTGATGACGCTGACAAAATGGCAAATAAGGAATTCGAGCGCTTTGAGAAGAGTTTAATGCAAAAAGAGTCAGTTAATCAACCAAATGCGCCTGTTAACATTGGTGGTACATCAAATTGAACGTGTTATAATTGTTTCTATCTTTAGTAGGTTTAGAACTATATACATAAACATATGTAATAATGTGCATGTATATTTGGTTAAATAATGTACAGCCTTAAAACGAATATGTTGCCCGTTATATATGTGTTTCAATGCTCAGTGCGGGGTGGGCGTATTTATTTTACCTCTACGAACGTAAGAGTATAATCGCTCTTTTGATTAACAAAATTATATTAAATCAATTACAAGTTCTCAACAATTTCAGATAATGATATATGAATTTAAATCCATACAGCTGTGGTAACGACCACAGCAGTGTTGGGCAATGCCGATATGAAAATATCGTTGGGGGTGAAATTCGTGCACATCATTGATAAGTATCGTTATCGATATATATATACACAACTAGCTGTCGCACACTCATACACAAAACGAACAAGCGCATTAAACAAATCAAACTGTTCCCCAATTGATATTCATAGCAATAATAAAACGTGTGCAACTTAACTGAAACCCACCTGGCTATATCAATTGTAAGCAACCGAGAAACCATATATACGGGCATATATTGCAATCAAAGTGTAAACAATTTGAAGAGCAAGTTTCGCAAGCCGCATAGGAAATTGTTAAATATGGTCAGGCTTTTCGCACTGAGTGTCTTTTTCAAGGGTGCCAGCGAAGCGCGCCTATTAAAGACCACATCCGACTTGCAGTCCTTTTCATTTTTTCAACGTGGCACAGTCAATGAGTTCATGACGTGAGTAGTCAACGCTTTTGGGTGTTACGGCGACGGCGCAATTCGCCCGCCGTCGTCTCCCCATTTATTGCCCCATTTAACACATATGCTTGTACATTCTGACTTGAATCGGCTCGCATTTTCTCACAGCTTTGCCTCGAAGACAATCGTGGAACGAACCCAGCCGGCGCTGCGACAGTCTGTTAAACAGGATGCCTACATGTGCCATGTCTATGTGCGGGCCGATAATTTGGCTGGCGTTCTTATCGCTGATCACGAGTATCCGCACCGTGTCGCGCACACGTTAATCACAAAATTACTGGATGACTTTGCGGCCAAGGTATCGGCAGAACAATGGCCCAACGGTACTGAGGCAACAATTGCATTTGATTCGTTGCCAGCGTTTTTGGCCAAATACCAGGATCCCAAGGAGGCCGATCCGATAACGAAAATGCAAACCGATTTGGATGAAACTAAAATCATATTGAAGAACACAATCGAATCGGTGCTGGAGCGTGGCGAGAAACTGGAGGATATGGTTACCAAATCGGAGCAGCTATCCATGCAAAGCAAGGCCTTCTACAAGACAGCGAAAAAGACCAATTCCTGTTGCAGCTTCGCCTAAACAAGCCAAGGGCACAGATATCGAAAAACTCAAAAAACACCACTTAAAACACAAAAAACAGAAACACCAACAAAATGGGCACGAAACAAGCAGCGACGGCGCGGCATTGGCTTAGAATTTGTATGCTTTTTATAACATAATTAGTTAATTTTATATTTAATATATACATATATGAAACTAAACTATACTAAACATGCCCAAGTATTTATACGTACGCATATGCAGCGGCACGAATGTGCTGCAACTCATATATGTACGCCCATTATGTGTGTTAAACGTTCAACTTGGCATCTTGTTCTCTGCATGTCTAGGGTAATGGTACAGATAATGTTATATATATACATATATATATATATACCAATACAATTATGATATACATACATTATATATATATATATGCGTATTTTGTGCAAGCGCAAGTCTCTGTGCAATTTAAGAATATGTGTCTATCTCCTTCGGTTATGTGCTCGCATCTTCTTTTTGTTTTCAAATAGCTTTTGTCTTGTGTGTCTGACCGCCGCCTAAGTCGATGTCGATTAATTATTATATGCGTACATCTGTGTGTATCTATGTACATATTTAGGTTTCTCAATAAGTTTTAGACGCGCTGTGTAAGCGACTTTCAACTGCCGAATACTCAACAGAATGGCCCAAGGCAAGTTCTGTCTGGGCTATGAATAAAAATGATAATCCCAAAACTGATTGAAATGTTTTAGATACTTGAAATACGCTTTGCTCACAAACAAAATGGGCTCTTATTTGCAATCAGCCTGTTAACAGAGTATTGGGCAGTCGGTTTCGTTTGTACGTGCTTTTTATTTAATTGTACACGTATATATAATCCCACCAATCGATTTTAACAATATTCCAATTAAATTTATTCGAAATACTTTTAAAAATACACATTCTTTGCAAATGCTTAAAGATTTTAATTACATTTTATCGTATTAAAACGATTAAAAGTTTCCAAATATTAATGCATATTTTATATTTTAAAGCAAGTATATTTAAAATATATTAGTTATGTTTTTAAATGTATTCTAAATACATTTTCCGTAGAACAGAACTTTTTAACAGTTTCTAATTCCTAGCAAGAAACAAATTAAATTCCTCATTAAAAGGAATCCTAAAAGATTTCAATTTCAATTATATTTTTTGTAGATTTTAAAGATATTTTCAAATAAATGCTTGTCACAAGTATGCAAAGGCACAAAAGGAATATAGTCTTTATTGTATTCAAATGAAAACAGTTGTCGTTGCAGGCTAAGGAGTTGTAGGATTAGGAGTAGCAACTGCCCCTCCCCTGAGTATTGTTTAGTGTCGTTGCTTGACATGCATAGCCAAAAGCTTTGTTTTGATACGTTTGCGATCCCGCGCGATAATCTCCATGCGCTCCTTGATGCTCGTCTGGAAGAAGATCAGATGCAGCGTGCGGCTGGCTGAGCACAGCTGATGGTGAAACAAATTGGCCAATTATAAAAAGGAGTTTACTCAAAATGTAAGCTAAACGACTCTCACCTGCTGCAACAGGCGCGCCTTAAGGCGTATATTTGCCGGCTCCTCCTGGTCTAGACTGTTGCCGTACGTCTCCAGATGCAGATTGAGCACAAAGATGAGCGTATCGCGTATAGTCTGAACAATGCGCTGCACTTGCTCGGTCCGGAATAGACGGCGCACCAAATAGCCGCGCGCAGCGGCATTCAGAACTGTGGCGGCTATGTGACGTCGCTGCGTCTTCAGCTCGTCCGTGGACAGCTAGTGATGATCAGAGTGAGGCATGTGAGTGAGGGCGTGGCAATATTGTGGCTTGTATTAGTAGGTAAGGGTTAGTTTGCTCTTGCTCTTTTTTATTAAGCAATCGAATGGGAAACGTTTCAAATTCTTAGGCAATATAACTATGTATATATGTATATGCATATATTGGTTCCCAAAGATTGCCCAACGTTGGGCTTAAGGCACTTGCTTGGCTTCGATTTGTTTATCAATTACTTCTTGGCCACAAAGCGCTGCTGGCGGAGCAAAACAAATCGCATTTAGAGCAAGATAGAGATGGAGAGAGGAAGAAATTTCAATTAGCATATGTGGCCCAAGTCTGGGCGAAGACGCTACTTACGGTCTGACGGCTGGGCGAGCCACTCCGACGCGTCTTCGATATTGTTTGCTGTTGTGGCTGGTTGCGTGAATTGCCCTTGGTTGGCGACGTTGTCGTCTTGTTGTTGACTCTTCGCGCTGGCGGCGACTTGCCCTGAGCCACTGGACTGCTGCTCGACATCTTGGACCCGGGCGGCTTTGAATGGCTGCGCTGCACTGGTTTTTTAATTTTAGTGCTATTATTGCTTCTGCTGCGCAGCGAGATAGATCTCGGCGAGCTGGAAGCACTCTGCAGCAGCGGCGGCAGCAGCTCCATCGGCTCCTCGTCGTCGTCGTCGTCGTCGCCGTTGACGTTGTCATTGTCGTTGTCCACGTCAAAGAGGCGCTTGCGTGCCGTATTTGACACAGAATCCTTGTCCATCAACTCATCAAACTGCGCATAGCTATGCGGCGTTCTTTCAAGTGAATTGAGCGTAACCGTATTGGCAGGCGAGGAGGAGTGTGACGGCGTAGGTAAATCATCCGTACTTGTATACTCGGAAATGCCGCTCGGGCTGCGCGCGTCTGTGATCGGCTCGTGGGCATACGCGGACACATTTATCTCCGCGCATATCTGTTCGATGAGAAACTTTTGCTGGCGATCAAATTCCTCCTGCATGCGACGCTGCTCCTCGTGTTGGTACTGAACCAATTGCTGAAAACGATCACGATGCGCGCTTTTAATATCCTTAAACATCTTTCGCTTGGCCACCGCCAGCTGCTTGCGTTCCAGCTGCTCTTGCTCCACGCGCACGTCGTGTGTCTCGTGCAGCGCACGCTGCAACAGCTGCTCGAGTTGCTGCTGCTGCTGCTGGGCCGCAGTGTTGCCGCCACTTCGCCTTCCTGCCGCTGGCGACTTGTATGGATCGACGCAGCTGGCGCTTGCACTGCGCTGCACTTGCTTCGCCTTGGACTCGACGGTGTCTCGGCGCAAATGCGCCAAACTCTGCACTGACGAGCTGCACGCGACATTGGCTGGCAGTACAAAACGGCAGCGAGGCGATGTTGGCGCTGTTGTCGCTGAGCGCGGCGGTGGCAGTGGCGGCGGTATGGGCGGCTTTTTGCCCTCGCGTTGCATATGCTCGACGAGCGCCTGTGACGGCTGCTCCAGCGTAAAGGAGCGCGACCGATGCAATTGCGTCATATTCATTTGGGCAGCGCTCAGCGACGGACTGGTGCTTGAGCGCAGCATTTGCTTATCCGCAGCAGAAGCCAGAGCCTCATTCTGCCACAACAATTTGGCCGGCTGGGGCTGCAGCGGCGTCTTCCGGCCCAATCCAGTGCGCTCAAACTGAAGTATGCGGCTGGTTATGTTGTTCAACTTGCGATGCTGTGTGCTCAGGTTGCGACTGCAGCTTCTCGGTGTTGGCGATGCGCATGTGGCTGCCTTTGGCTGTTCGCACTGTGGCGTTGGCGGATTAACGCAAATGGTAGGTATCAGGCAAGTGTCTGACGCACTCTTTGGCTCAATGTCGAGCGTTTGGGGTCGACTGCGCGGAGCATTAACTGGATCCAGCAGCATATGCTTCTGTTTGTGTGTGCTGTCATAAATGAAAGTTTCCGTTTGCTGCAGCTGTGGCAATCTCTGTGTGTTCTCCATGCTGGTGTCGTTGCTTAAGTCACAGCTGCTGTTGCTGCTGCTGTTGCTGCTGCTGTTGTTGTTACTGCTATGCCCACTGCTTGTGCTGTCGGACGCAGCAGCTTCTTGTTCGCCAATGGTTGAGGTTGATCTGACGGCGTGCGCCTGCCTGTACTTGGCCTCCAGTAGCACGGCTTGCTGTCGCAGCTGCTGCATCCGGTGCCGCTTTTCCGCTGTCATCTGTTTGGGTTTATGCTTGAGTGATGGCACGCCTGCAATTTAGCATAGCTACTCACCAGTGGCGGCAATATGGGCTGGCCATCGATGCGGAACTGGGACACGTATTCAGACGGTACTGGGAGCTGATTGGGATTGCTGCTGGGCGTGTCGGTATCTGGGTTCTTTAATGTCGTCGATATTGTGGCCTCGTTTTGTTCTGTGGCGGCACGCAGCATATCCATCGCCAAGCTGTACAATTGGAAGCCACATTTGCAAACAACAACAAAATGAAAGCACAATTCGATCTATTTCACCCACCTTGCATTATCCATATCCATGGGCAAGTTATTTTTTTTATGTTTATGTCTGTGCACTTAAAATTTTGAATGTTCTGTTTGAAAAATGCCAAACGATTTAGCTAGCGTGCCTTTTTTTGCGAGAGAAACGCAACCCAAAAGCAATATTAAAAGCAAACAATTGTTCATTTGTTGTGCGTCCGTTGGTTGCTATGACAACTTTCAAGGGCAACTGCGCGCTTTGAACGGCGTCTGCTGCCACATCCAGGCTAACAAAGGCAAAACAACAAATAAAAAAGATAAAACTAAAAGAAATAGGCAACAAGAAAATCTAAAAACTGTTTGGCGTTTGCTTTTGTGTTCCACTTTGTGCACGAGCCTGCCAGCTTGTTTGAGTTTTTAAATTCAATTTTCATTGCAACAAGTTGGCAGCTCTGGCAGCTGCGCGCTCAGTTGGTACAGGGTATTATTAACATGCCCTGTCCAGGAACGTGCGTCAAATTAGCGGCGTTGCCTTTATCGGAGAAAACATAAATGTTGGTTGAAATATGTTTAAATATTGCCACCTTTTTGTTATAATTCTGTGTATAAATATTTAAATGTACTGTTGCCTAATTTAGCAACATTATATTTTACCAAAGAGAATCTTTTTTTATAAAGTGTATGTATACAAATAATTTGAATTATTTTATTCCCGCTCAATAGTGTATATAATTTTTCAGCACTGATTCGTTGGACCTGATAGCTCGACAAGCCCTTTGATTTATTATTTATATTTTGTTCTAAAAAACTGAAATTCAAAAACAAATGAGTGTAGACAGTAAATAATTTAATTTTTTGCAATTCTCCATTAAAATTTATTTGGTTTTGTGCTTCAAAATATAAATTAATGCAATTAAGTGATTCCGGCTCCGATACCAAGTACCAAAAATCGACGCCAAGTCACCGGCGCTAGTTTGACGCCGATAGTTTTAGTAGTTATCGAAATGTCGATTAATCATCGGTGGAACCGCAGGTTTACATTGGCGTAACATAGCATTTGATATCGTGTTGCGCGTTTCGTAGCTGATTCGTTGTTATTATCAATTTTTTTGTTTTTGTTTATAGTGCCGTTAAAAACGTAGCAAGCAGGCAGAAAACAGTGAGACGCGCAAGCCCAAATAATAAATCAAAAGTATATTGTTTTTTTTTCTCTCGTGGGTGCCAAACAATAAACTGTCTTGCACAAGGACGTAATAGCAGCCCCCCTCTAAGAATCATCCTCAACCGCCCCCGCTCACGACGCGTCTAACATCATTCGCTGTTTTGTTTGTGCTGTTGCGCGCTGGCTGCTCCAGGCAACTTTGAATGTGTGTGTGTGTGTGTGTGTGTGCGAATTACAAAATTAAATAATTCAATAACTACAGCCATACAAACATATACATATGTATATTTCTGAGTTTAGAAATAACAGTTCGCTAAAACAAAAAAAAAAACAAAAATCACATGTGCGCGTAAAATATATAGCCTTGTACATGCTTATGTATCTGAGTATGTGTGTGGGTGTTGTTATCCAGAGCAGCTGCCCTTTGTGTGGGTTGGGAGTATTAAGCTGTGTTACACTAACTGCGTTTTAGTTTCTAACAGCGGGAGGCGTGTTTCAGCGTGTTCTTTTTTTTGTTCTTTTCGAGTTTATTTTGCAATCTTTGGCTTTGGCTGAAGGGACTAGCGCAACGAGGAGGGACACACTCGAGTGTGAAGTCACTTGACTGGTCGTTTGCTTTATTTGCGTTGCTTAATTATGTACATATATACAAATATATATAATTATTGTACGTGCAAGAACAATTTAGAGTAAAAGAATGACACACTGCGTGCACATATGTACGCAATTCTGCGACGCAATTGAAGACATCGAAGGCCAAACAACTTTGCCGTTTTTTGTTTTCGCCTGCCTTTTACGCTTTTCTGTTAGTGGCATTTGTTTTTGTTATCACAACTTCACTCACAATTCTCACACTATTTGTTGTTGATTGCCAACGCGTGCGCTCATTCTCAATGCCAAAACGCCAACGCAGTCGCACTCAAATACAGAGCTGCGCTCAAACGAACTAACTGTAAAGTGAACATTTAACAGTTATTAAATGCAATTATTTTGAGGATTTCTGCAAGGAACCTACATACATACATACATACATATGTACGTATTGGCTGGCAGCCGCAACGCAGTTTTAGTTTCTTTGTTCTTGTTTGTATACCCTGTTTTCAAAGAGAACAGGAGTATATTGGAAGCCAAATTCCTATATTTTTATTAAAAATAGTTTGAGAGTTTTAGTCTTAGTCACAAACTGTAGCTTTTTCATTATATTCGTTAATCTCCTCGAAAGTTGAACAAATTTGGATTTGCTTCCATTACTTGAGCTGGCATGACATTGGTAACAGAGTATTGTGCAGTCGGTTAATACCAACTGTATCGCTTCTGTCCATGGCGCTGAGTTGCTGACGAACGTTGAAAGCATCTGCCAGCGCCCTATATTATAAACATAGCTTTTTGTCCCAAATCCAACGTACAACGTACAATAACGATAATAACAAGAAGGCGCAATTATTTTCGTACGGCCGAAGATTAGATACTCTTGCCGTGGATATGCACAGACACATGTTATGGCAAATTTATAAAACGCGCTGTCAGTGTATTATAATAATTATAATAATAATAATAATGTGAAGAACAGCAAGATTGTTTTTCCTTTTCCTTTTTGGACATTTCGTTTGCATTTATTTTTGGTAAATTGCCATATTTTGTTGTTGTTTGTTTTCATGCAGCAATATTTCATTTCTACGCAGCAGCAGCAGCGACAGCAGCAGCGGCCGGAAAAACAAGTTGGCTCAGTGCCCCGTTGCCATATTGACATATTCTCGCTGCGCATTCAGTGGTAAAGTGCAGGTGCGCAGTTTGTAACGGCGCCCATGCGCGGACAGCTGATCGATAACAAATCGATTGAAACTAACCTAACCTAACGGCAATTCAGTTTCAAATAATCAATATAACCGTATCACCATCAGCTGCATCAGTATAAACAATAAAAAAAAAACAAAGAAAACACAAATTGCAGCAGGCTGCGATATAAACAATATATTATATATATATACAGATAAACGTTACAAAAATATGTTTCAAATTCCACGACCATCGCGGGTAACGCTGCAAGGCGCTGCCATAGCGCTCGGCATGGTGATGTTAATGTCCTGGTAAGTACTAATGCGTACGTTATACAGTGAATGCTCGCTAGAGCGTACACCAGTAGCTAAACTCGTTTTGGCCTGTTCAAAAATATGCAAAAAGAATTAACAAAATCACAAAGTGTTGCCAATTCAACTATTTTCTAGCCAAATTCAGCTGTTTTCAGCTGTCGTAAGTCGGACAAAGTTGATTGTCAAACTGATTTAGCTATTTTCTTGCTAATTCAGCTCCTTTTAGCTATTTTGAACGTAGAATTTAGCTAGTTATTTTTAATATTTTCTTGAATCGGCAACTAATGAATCGGAAAATGAGTGAAAACCTGACAGCTACAATTTTGAGCAGAGCAAGTTGACCGGGTTAAGCCAATAAATAATTGCTAGTATGTCCGTATATGTACATATGTACATATATTGCAAGCTATCGCACGCATTCAGTTAATTATTTAAACTTTTAAGTGCACTCACGCCTTGCAATTTGGGTCACAAACCAAATGCATTTGCATTCGCATGCCTCGCGCATTCCCATTCCAAAAGAAAGCGAAACTAAAATAAATTCTATGGCTGGCGACAACGACGCAGCTTTTTAAAGTGAAAGCATGACAGGAAGAGCGAGAAAGAGAGAGAGGGAGAGAGAGACTGACTAAACGTCGCGTGGCCAGTGCTTATACCCTTACACAGGATATTTACAATTTAGTCACGACATTGTTCACTAGAAAGTAAAAAGACCGTTAGCTGAGAATCAATTAAGCTCTTATATTTGAAACTTATTATTATATAAAATATATATCAATTAAAAATAAAATTAATATATCAGTTAGGGTATTTAAATGTCGGCATTCCTTAAATAACTTCTTTGTATTTGAAAGTTGTAATGTTTTATTTTGGGCATAGATATATATGTATGTATGCACGCCTGCATAGGTATATGTATATGTATATGTGTATGTACGTGCTTACACCTTAGTTCTGGCTGGCTGCTGGCCCGGCTGGCCCCACAACCCCCACCCCCCACCCCCACCCTCACCCTATCGCTTGCCCTGCCTTTCTTCGCGATGGCGCGTACATGCAACTGTATTAGTATTTGGTTGACGGTCAGCCACGTTGTTTTTGTGCTGGCTTTTTATGTATGTACACATGTACACATATATAGCACACACACACACACACGCCTAACGGTGTGTGCGTGTCTGTGTCTTTGTGTGGCGCAATTAACCAAAGCAAAATGCAACAGAAATGATTCCGCACGCAGCCTCAGGCAGAGCTTGCCAGTTAATACACATTCACACGTACTTCTATATATATACATATATATATATATATCGTACATTCGCACTTATATATGTATGGACCTAGTCATGCACACGTTGTTTGTATGTGTATAAAATGGTGTCTAAAGAGCAGAATTAATGCACGAAATGCACTTGTTGTATTACTTTGTTTATCGTTCGACTATCAGTGAAAAAAAAAACAGCAACAATTGCAGCTTTTTTGTTGTAGCTTAAGGTTGTTTGTCAGGCAACGGACGCCAACAAATGCCAATAACAATAACAACGGCAACAAATTTGAAAACAAATACCGTTATCCGACACAAATGTCAAACACAATCTCGATAGCTTTGCGCACAGAAAATAATCGATAACAGCTATAAATAAACTCGATACAAAAAAATAAAATACTGTAGCTATATCTGTTACAGTGTGACCAAAATTGGAACGCAGACGAACGAGATGAGCTCCTTTGAGGATTGCTCTATAAATATATGTGGACTATGCCGGAGAATCTGTATCTCTTGGTTCATTTTTCAGCTTATACCAGATGCCAGATACTCACTTGTTATATGTCTAAAAGTGATCATTGAACGACAAAAATGACCTGAAGTTATCTAAGCTCTGCCATAATAATAAGAAGCAGAACAATAATATTTTAATGTAGGTAGTTTGAATAAAATGTGACGAAAACAGAGTTCTTTCGATGGAAAATTGCAATGGGAGCTATATGGTATTGTATTGCCCCGTTGATAAAAGGTTAAAAGCACAATGCATTTCGTATTTAATACTTATATAAGAAAATGTTTTCGTATATGAGAAGTGAAGCATTTCTCTTAATCTATAATATTGCAATGCTTCGAACTATTCTTAAAAGTGAACACAAATCTGTTGAGCTCGGTAAATAATAATACTTTGAACAATATTAAAACTTGTTGACACGAAAGCCTTACTTGCGATCGATCAAAAATCAGCCCTATAATTAACTGATCCGATCCGGCGGGACGTTTCAAGTAAAAGTGCATTAGTTTAATGCAATCAAAATTGATTAACAAAGTTCATAAACAAGGCTGGCTTTCACTGGCTGCCATGAGATACCCACTATATATAGCTATATAGATTGGTATATATATATATATATATATATATATAGCATAGATTTACCGAAATCTAGAATCTATACCAAGTCTCGCAGAGTCCATACGAACTAGAAACCTTTAACTCTTGGCAATTTGGATTGTAAGTCTTCTTTTTGCTAGCGCAGATAAATGATTTTACAGGGCAACATCTTAGAGCACACAAGGGTGCTGCCCAACGGGAAGAGTATTCGATTTGGCACTGTCAGCTGTTCCGTCCGATTGCCACTTGCCCTCTGGCAAGAACTTTGTAAGCAGACGCGTTCGGGAAGTAAACAAAAAATAGCTGTGAAAGGCAAACAATGAGATAATGATAGACAGTTTTTGTTGTTGTTTCTTTTTTTTCATTTTATAAAGAAGTGCGGCTATTTCTGGCACGCGAACGATCAAATACCCTTGCAGACATTCCGAACGAGTGTTTCCATAGAAGCATATGGCTCCTTTTCTTGTTCGACTTGGATGTTATATACTTTAAAGTTACACACACCTATGACAACATTTGAATACACACTCGTAAATACTGATAATCGCAAATACATACCCTCTAGAATATGGAAGTGACTATGTCGTGCGACTACGCCTTATGCTGTTGCCACTTTTAGATAGAACAACGCACATTGAGAAAATGACTACTTTCGCTGTTTGTCCCACATTTAACAATCTAATCTATATATATATATATAAGTATACATAGGTATAATTGGACGTTTCAGAGATTTATTGCCATGTATTCTGCTTACGTAGCTCGTTTATTTATCTGTCTTTCAATTGAAGATGCGATTGTTATAAACCTATTTGTGTACTTGTTTATACAATAGAGATACCCCTTGCGTGCTAACTGGCTACGGGGTATGCCCGACGTTACGTTTCCGTATTTAATTGTAATCCGTATTGTTCATTTTACAATCCCATTATCAAATGTTGTTAATCTTATTCCTATAATTCGTATGATATATATCGATGTGCTGTATCGATATCGATATGTTGTTATCGATTATCGACAATAAATTCCACTAAAAGAGCAGGAGCTATCGATAATTTGAAATAATCTTTATTTCAATTTTAATTATCTATCTTCGTGCAGCTAATCGCCAAATTGCGAAAAGTCAGAAAAGTCAAACGGTTTTTTAGCCGCTTTTCAGGTTGTGACCTTTTTGATATCTTACGGGTTTGTAGATATTTGAGGAGAATAGTAAAGCTCGTAATTACTGAGCTCAGTAAAAATATCTGAGGAAACAGACAAAACTCAGTTTTCTCGCGATTCTTCCCGAAAAGTCAAACAATATCGTAAGGCGATGCAAGATTTGGCTGAAGCCTAGAGAGAAAAACAGGACAGTCGCACGGAATAACGGAGGGATTGTGATTGGGTTGATTGTCATCAAGAATATATGTATATACTTTATCGGATTACAAATGCGCTACACATTTCGTGGCAAAACTCTAAAACCTCTACGAGGGTATAAAAGGCTTGCCATAAAAAGGCAAACAAATTGTCTGCAGGAAAAAAAGGCAACATTTGTTGCATAGTCTAATTAATAAATCCGTTTAAATGTCCAATAAGTTAAATACAACTATTAATTAGGCAAAAACTTGAAGAATTCCGGTTGCCTTATAATAATTCAAGCCAGTTTCTGTTGTTTGTTTCCGCGGAGTGCGAGCGCGAGAGAGGGAGGGAAAGATAGAGGGAGCGAGAGGGAGAGAGAGAGAGAGAGAGCATAACCTGTCATATTTGCAGCTAAGGGAACTACACAGAACCAGAAGAAGCAGAATAGAAACAAACACGGATCAGCTGAGTTCGCGTCACGTAAACGAAACCAAACTCAAAACCTGGCTTGTGAAAGATTATAATATATGATGATGCTATCAGCAGCCGCAGCAGCAGCAGCTGTGAGTGCTTCCTGTTAGAACATGTTTTTCGGCCAGCTAACCAAAAATTTGTTGGTAATTGATGAGACGACACAAGTTAAGAGAAGTTGGCAAGTCACATTAATGCTGGGCCCGTCGCCAGCTACAGTTCATATTGCTAGTAGTGCTGCCTGATATCGCAACGCAACGATCCTTTGCACATTTGCTATTTTCTTTTTTTCAGTGTACGTCCTCTGGGTGTGCTGTTCCTGGGCCTATTCAGTTACTGGCTGTATTGGACACGTTGCAGTTTTCGTGTTGTTCTCACACCGCAGCTGCGCGAAAAGCTCGAGTCGTGGTTGCATCGCATCGAGGATTGGCGTCACAACTCGCCCAGCATGTTCTGTTTGGTTAGCAGCGGCAGCCTGGCCACCCTGGCCGTGTTGGGCCATCTAATATCGGGCTCCACGCTGGTGCTGACCCTGTTGGTTCTCTCTGCACTCGTATCCACCAAATACAATTTCAAGCTGCTGCAAATCGAACACAAAGGTTCAGGGATTGCATTTTATTTTGTTTGGCATTCGTAGCTAAAATGTTGTCCATTGCAGATTTTCAATGGTCGGAGAAGATCAACTACAACAATGCCGAGGCCGAGCTGGATGATGAGTTTATGCCGGATGTTAACGAATCGAATCTATTTGTGTTGGAACGCGCCAGCGATGTGGCCACCATCAGCTCACCCACCGACGCCGATGGCGTTGGCGAAGGGGATGATGATGAGTGCAGCGACGATATACCCTCTGAGCTGCTTATACCCGATTCCATACCCGAAATCGATGAGCATTCAACGGACGAGGACGATGAGTTGGTGCCGCTTTCGCAGCCCAAGCAAAGTGCGGCGGAATCAAACGCTGCTCCACAACAACAACAACAACAACAATACGAGCAGAGCAGGCCAGCGAACAGCGAGGGCGAACAATCAACTGCAAACAAGTCAATGGACTTTCGCAGAGGGCACTTTAAGCGCGACTCCTCGTTGTCCACCACCTCATCATCATCTGAGGAAAGCCTATCCAAAGGCCTGCAATTTCCTGACCACACCAGCGTCGATGCCGGCGGCCCCAACCCACTGCGACAGCTAACTGAAGCGCCCAGCGATCCCGCTGCCAGCAACAGCTCTCTAATGGCGCTGGCCGTTAAAACGCAGGCGCAGGCACTCCTGCCCAGCCTCATGACCAATCTGGTTAAATGGGGCGCCAACCAGGTGGACAGCACCGATAATGCGGCGGCGCTGGCCAAATATCAGCGACGCCAAGTGACCGCACTGGACTCATCCGATGAGAGCGACTTTGAGATACTCGAAACGGATGACTTTAAGTAAACTACTGTACGGCAGCGTATTACCAACTAATATCTTAAATATACATATACATATATCTATATATATGCATACAGATGCACAGATGCTTATAAAACAAATTGGATATCAGAACTGTTCTGTTCTGTTCTGTTCCGTTCCGTTCCGTTCTGGCAATAGATATTTTTGCATGCCATATGAAAAAGCGATGCAGGCAGTTTATAATTTGCGGCTTTATACTGAGAAAATGTATGTATTGTAACTCTACGCTTTATTGATGATCTGCATATATATCATTTTATATAGGTTTTGTAATATTCGCTTTATCTATGACATCCACTTTAAGTTCTGTTCCGTTCGCTGTGCTTGTGTAAATTTTATTTTTATTTTTTTTTGTTTTTTTTTTAAATTATAGTCTTAGTCTATATTTTTTTTTTTACTATTATTATCATTATTGTGTTTTGGAGCAGCGGTTTAGTTACTAAAGACGCAAATGAAAATTGATTTGAGTTTCGTTTAGGATTTCAATTAGCAGTATGCAAAAATGTAAATAATATATCAATATTCATATACATTTATACGGATACTCATGCAAATGTTGAGCTACTTAAATTGTACCCACAGCGTTAAAGAAAGGAAATCGGGCAAAAACATACATACATACGTACTCCTCTATAAAGTTGATGCGGTGCTATAAACCATATTTAAACAAAAACAAAAGGAACAACGCTTAAGAGAAATTTGACAAAATTGTGTATAAAAGAATTACCCTCTTAAGCGATTGATGCTATTTACTGATGATTAAACGAAATAAAATCGATTTATTTAAACATTTTTCTGTGACCATTAACAGTCTGTCTTCATTGTGACAAAGGAAATTCATTAGTTTCAAAATAAATTACACGAATCAAAACTGATTTATTGCAGCATTTCAAATCAAACTCAACTGAATGTATATGTTTTCAATTTGAAATATAACCAGGGCTGACTAACAAATTTCTGCAAAAGTGTGGCAACCTTTATAACTTTTGCCAGGTGGCAAGCCCAAAACAACTGATTGCCAAGGCTGCAAACAACAAATTTGCATAAACATATCAAGTTTTAAACACCAAAACGGATTTAAGCTCTTTTATTATTATTTAAAACAAAATTGTTCTAATGCTTGTAGCTAATATTATATCTATTATGGGTACATTGCCCTTAGCTTGTTTTCGACTCGGCAACAAATAGCGCAAAATAGAATCGATCCAAAAACACGTTTCGCAAATATTTGAAGTATTTCGTTCTGCTTTAGACAGATTTTTTGCGTATTGGATTGAAATTTCACAAAAATAATTCTAAAAATGTGTACATACAAAATATTTTAACAATTAACATTAAAAAAACAATTCAAATACTTATATTATAGGGATTTTGATCTGTTTTGCACGCGCAACATGCGAGTTGCGGATGAACAGCACAAAACTTGAGCCTGCGCAGCGAGTTTAAAACCGTCTATAAATCCACTTTAAGCAAATGTTTCAGATTGACGCCGAAACGTAAAGTAAAATGGTACAACAACTCCACCATGCTGAGTATTGAGAAGCCCATGAAGAGGCCAAAGATACCGCCGCAGTTGGCCAAAAAATCGGTCACGCCATACATCTCGGATCGTTTCGAGGTAATGAACTGGCTCTGCTTGAAGTAAATTGAGAGCCTGGACATCTGGGAGCCGGGATAGTCGCGCATGAACTCTGTGTCGCCTTCGGCGGCCAGCATTTCCTCCAAATCAAAGTTGGCCTGCGAGATCTCCGTGTTGTACACCAGCGAGGTGCAGGCGGGCATGCAATTGCATGCAGTCTCCACGCCCCTCGGCGCCTCGCCGACAACGTTTAGGCTGCGAACGCGATGGAATTCGCGCACAAGCAGCTCGCGCTCAGCCAGATTGTAGCAATAGATTTTGTCCTCACCGCAGACCGGCATGTCCAGGCTGCGCGGCATCGAGAACTTGACACAGCCGCATTTGGTCAGCGTAAAGTTGGCCAGGCACTCCAGCTGGCAATTGGACTCGGAGTATACCTTGAAGAAGCGCAACGATCGCTCGCGGCTGAGGAAGCACTGTCGCCGCTGTGGATGATATTCGGCAATGCCGGCGGATGTGGTTATCATGCTGGGCTTAACGGCAATGAGCACCTCCCTGCCCATGGGTATGCGCACAAACTGCTTGGACACCTGCGGCACATCGTCCGGCGCATGCAGCAGCACCTTGAAACCCTGCACTGGGCCACGGCAGGCGTAGTCGACCTCCTGCTTGAAACTTTGCAGCGTCATAAATATGCCCGAACGGGCACCGGCGCTGAGCACCCGTGCCGGATATGTTTCCACATCGCTGGCCGGATCATAGCCGGTCTCCAGGCTCCAGGTCGATTGTGTGACATTCTCCACTTCGCTGTGATTATACTGATACGTGTCCTCACGATAAATATCGGTGGGCCGCATCCCATTGAACGTATAACAGATGCCCTCCTCTGTCAGCGTTCGGCGAAAGTATTTGTCGCACTCGTTGAATCGACTTAGCCAGCGGCAATAGAAGAAATACCGTTCGAAGGGCGGCAGCATGTGCTCCAGCACCGCAAAATAGTCCAGATCCTCTCCGGGTATTAGTGGCATATCACGATCTATGATGTGCGTATTGCATACATGGAGCAGCGTGCGAAACTCATCCATTTCAATGGCGGTGATATTTTGTGGCTTGAAAATGCGCGTCGCTCGCATATCATGCGAGAACTGGTTGTAGAGATTCGCAAAGGAATTGTTGCTATTCGCTTTAACCACACGTTTCGTCTCCGAGCATATGGTGACCGCCGGAAAGGGTATATTCCAGACGGGCGTTGATCTTTCCGCAAAGCTAACAATCACTGGAGTCTCATTCCACTTGGTGTAGGCGCTGTTGATCAGCGTGGCGCAGCAGTAAATGGACACCACAAACACGGACAGCCAAAAGACGCGCTCCTTAATCGGCCGCTGCTCCTCGCCCAGATACTGCACGCCGTGTATGGAGGATTGCTGGCAATATTCCTGGTACGTATTTACGAAGCATTTGCACAGGGGTTTTCCGATTGCCGGGTGGCGTGTTTTTTTCGATGTCAGATCGATGCCGTCGTTGTTGCTCTCCATGTCTGCATCCGGCACAGACATACTGCCATCCATTTCGTAACTCTTGGCGCGCACAAACATGGTTTCAACAAGACAACAGGAATCAGGTAGGAAAAATCCAGCATTAGAATTAAACGATTAGACAGTGTGTCTGTGTGTGTGTGTGTGTGTGTGTGTGTGTGTACCGTAATTTGTGCTTTGCGACAAGTACGCTGATCGTGTCACAAACATGGCCTAGAAATAGGAGTATATGGTGTAAGAATAGTTTATACGGTGTTTTATTGTTTCATAATTGAATGTATTCAAAATATTTAATTATTTTGAATCAAGTAATCTTAAGGAGACCCCTTCAACCTGTTTACATCCATTTTAAGATCTCAATCAACATACAATATTAAAGCGATTTCTATTCAATACATTTCTTGCGGCATTCGGGTTATTATTTTTACGTGCCAGCGCCAAAAATTCAAAAAATCCCTTCGGTATTATTTAGTATATTATAGAGTTGGCACATGCAGCAAAAAAAAATACCAAAACATGCTGGGCACACTTGTTTGTTGCTGGCCATACTTTTGTTTATGTTCTGCTTTCGTTTGTCTATTGCAGTGTTGTTGCAAATAGGGCAATGTACAATTGTACACTGCGTACAGTGGTGGTTAAAGATGAAGGTCCAATAAACAGCTGTTTGCTAACATTCAAAATTATCGATAGCAAGAACACAACGACGCAGCAGCAGCACCAGCAGCAGCACCACCATCAGCAGGCAGCAGCGCAGCCAGTGACAGTAGCAGCCAATATTATGCGAAACAAGAAATCTATAAAAAAGTAGAGCAGCAGCAGCAGCAGCATCAGCAGCAGCAGCAGTTGGGGTGGGGTAAGCGGGGGACAGCAAGCATGGAGCCTCCAGCGCACGTTACCGCAGCGGGCATCGTAACTGTTGTTGAGGGCGCAGCGGATGCTGAGCAAGACAGCCAAGTGACAACAACGCAGAAGAATGACGGGCAAGCGGACAATGATGATGACGACGATGACGATGGTGAGGATGACGATGACGATGCCAAGGATGCCTACTTCGAGGCGCGCAATGGCAATGAAAGCGATGAGCTGGAAACGGCATTCCAAAGTGCGTTGACATTGGCCAGTGACGTCAGAGTGAATGTTAGCGATGCAGATGCAGATGCAGATGCCGAGCACGATGAGAGCAATAGACGCACAGAGCAGCAGCCGGATATTGGGCAGGTGCAGCAGCCAGAACCGGATGCCAGCAACGATGTTGTGATGCGCAACCACAGTAAGTGACCCACACGCTTTTCTCATTTTATTGGACCAGCTAATTTGTGCATCCTTCTATCAGCTCCAAGAGACTTGCAACATGAGACAAACAACGAAATTAGCCAGCTGGGAGCAGCGACCGACTCAACGGCTGCCAGCGACTCGTCACGACCACGAAATCAACATCAGGCGCTGCTCACGACCAAGTCCTGTGAGATGCCCGGCAGCACGGCATTGGCATCGGCATCGGCATCGGTGGCGACTCTATCGCCGAGTAGCTCGTGCAACGGCAGCATTGGCAGCGAGGGCAGCTGTAGTGTTGGCGGCGGTGCCCGTCGCAAGTCATGGACGCTGTCGCCCCAAAACGGTGGCTCCAAGAAGAGAACCAAACCAAGTGCGGCAGCCACGACAACGGTATCCAATGGCGATAGCTTCAATTTGTGGGTGGCGCGCGAATGCTTTGAAACGGTACCCGCCGAAATGGTGGACACGCTGAGCGTTTCCGAACTCCAGGAGCAACAGGAGGAGGAGGAGGAGCAGCAGCAGCACCACCACCACCACCAGCACCAACAGGAGGAGGAGGATGACGATGTCGACGAAGAGGCGGCTGCCGTCGAGAGTCTGTTGGGCGCGGCAGCGGCTCTGCAGGCCAGCGCCTATTTGAGCAGCGGTGCGCAGGGTCGTCAAAAGCATCTGCGACAGCCTGCACAGCATCGTCCGCTAGAGCGCTCGTGGCCGCCGCGCGCCATTGGACGCGAGCTAAAGCTGCAGGGTGATGTCTTCAAATTTGATATACTCGATACGGATGAGCGCATGCCCACGGAAGATGGGCCAAGCTACAGCGGTGCCAGCAGTAACAACAGCTCGCCGCTGCGCCTGCTTGGCCAGCCGCCGGAGGCCAGTCCGCCGCCCATGCGATTTAAGCCGCTCATTCAGAAAAAGATTGGACCCGACAGCTACATCAATACGATCAGCACCCAGAAGGTGCCCGCCCATTTAACCTATGAGTTTCCCACGTTCCCCCTCCAGGAGCAGCACAACAGCATGGCCAGCACCAGCTCTGGCGCCAGCTGCAGCTCTGTTGCCGCCGCCAATGGCCTTGGGGGCCATCACTTTCCCTATCTGCGACAGCATCGACCTCTGACGCGTGCCCTGTCCAATGGCAAGGGCGCCGGCGCCGGCACGGCCACGGATGAACCCTATCATCTGCCTGGCAGCAGCAGCAGCAACAATTCGCCACGGCTGCTGCTTTCGCCCAAGCGTCAGCGCAGTCCGCCCTCGGGCTGTTCCACGCGCAGCGTCTCTCCGCTGGATCTCAGCCTCAGTCCCGAGCAACACTCGCCCACGCGCGGACGCGGCGTCGGTGGCCTGGAGACAATTCTGCCGCTGCCCATGGCGCCGCCGTCCACTTTCCATGCGCAGCGTCCACAGCAGCGACTGTTGAAGCGCGTGGGCGGCGGCGGAG